TGTATTTTTTTGGCACACAGGTTAGCTTTCTGCACTTCACCCTGTACGTGTGTACTGGTGTACCAAATGTCTTTGTGTGCGATGCAGCATCTTGGAAATGCTGTCTGCCTGCTTGTATGAATCCAGCATTTCAGCATTCTCTGTCTCAGGCAGTGTTCATCACTATTACAACCCCCACTAGACACACACGTGCACACATGCACCCTCAGAGCACGTAGCTGCACATACACACTGCACATGTGACATATGCAAGCATAAGCACCCCCACTCTTGCACCCACCTACACACACAGGCACGCACAACACCCTGCCTACTGGAGTGTAACCATGGAAACGGAGCGCCTGCCCAATAGGGGTTGTGATGGAAGCAGCAGAAGAGAGGAACAGGAAGAAGTGTATTCACCTCTATTCATCCATGCCATACATGATTTGATGAATCAATCTGTCACAAAGTAAAACTGAACTGGCAACCACATTTTTTAATCAATTCAGGCTCTTAAATATCAATATAATAATGTTTATATTTGAAATACCTATGTCACAATTATTTTAGATTAATTTCACATATCCAAGTTTCTTGAAATGGTTCTTCCACATTTAAATTGTGCTGTAATCAATTTGCCGTAAAGGTTACAATACATCCAAAAAAAAAAAAATCCACAAATTTAAGATAATAAGAGAATGAGCTGATTCTCGTTAATTCTTTCATTATAAAGCAGCATGGTTTCAAAAATAGCTACAGTATAAATCTGTTCACAGGGACATTAGAAGTGCATATGCCATTAAGGTTGGATTTGTAAGCATCCTCTAACATATGTATGACAATAAACCTGCCTGTTTTATTGCTCTTCTGAAATACAGTCACAGAGACAGCACCCATATAGACAATAAAGCAACACAGAAACCATATAAGGTACTATGCCACTTAATGTAAGTAACAGCTCACAGCATCCATGATAGAGTCTCATTTATACAGTACATTAAAAATCTTGGCAGCCACATGACCTATTTACTACAGTTTTATTAAATATTAAAGCTATTAAAGCTATGACATTCTATGACATCAACATCAACATCAATCTTTATATTGGCCCTGGTGGCCCACCTCTGCAATACAACATGGTATGAAACTCTGCTTGGATTTCCTAAGAAAAAATTGGGATTTGTTCTCTTTAACATAAAGTAGGGGGTTGACAAAATCGCACCAACACCTATACCATCCACTGCAAACCAGTACAACTACCCTGTGTCTTTGTGATGCTGATTTGAGCCCAAGACAGGCAAAGAGAGTATGAGCAGGATAGTGAAAGGGCAGCACTTGTCCCTTTCTCATTATCACTGCAGAGGTGCCCTTGAGCAAGGCAATCAACAATCGCTTCCCCAATGGGGCTGCTCAATATCTATCAGATCAGACGCTGTTGCAAAAGTGTCTAACTTGATCGAAACTACCCATAATAAATGAAGTAGAATACTAAATGTCAACCACCATTTTGCATGAACCACCTTGTCTGTGCATGAGTCTTGTCATACAAGAAGCACTTCTGTGTCACTCTGCTGTGTCCAATTAGGTCCTTAGATACCTACACACAGAAAAAACACTTCTGCACAAGCACAGGTGTTGGGTACCTTGGCTTCTTTTTGGATCTTGACATCACTCTCATCACACTCAGTGTGACATCGCCATAGCTACAGGGTTAGACTTTAAATCAGGTTATCGATTCATCAAGCTAAGACATTAGTTTTTAATTCAGTAGAGATTATCTGGCGGTGAGCTGACACTTTGAAAAGAACACAATTGAGAATTAGTACGAGCAAACTTTGCAATTAAAACCTTTTGATAATGACTTTTTGCTATTATCACGCTCACAGCGGTGCTTCATGTGGGCTGTAATGTGTAGTGCTATAATAATATTTTCAGATCACGAGCCCACCTCCGCATCTCTCTCTCTTTCTCTGTGAGCAGTACAGGTGGAGGAGAGTGTCAGTAAGTGTGTAGGCAATCGAGTGGGCGGCAAGTGCGATTTGGAGCCTGCGTCTTGACATGTGGGAATCCGTCACATGGCTGAAGGCAGAAGGATGAGTGGGCAGGACAGTGACAGAAAGACAGAAAAAACTAAGACTACGATGCAAAGACAGTTTGGCAACCTGGTGAAAACATCGGTAAATGTGCTCAGTTATGACACATGTCAGACATGACATCAGCAGCATCTGACTCTGCTGCTGACTGACCCACTGAAGCTCCCTCAAACATCCTCTAAACTTGCTTATTCTGAAAATTATTATTCCTTATGCAAACTGCTGAGTTAAAAAAATAAAGATGCTTAGCTTAAATGCCGTGAAGCAGCATTTAATGACATCCCTGGCCGTCTTATCCAGAGCAGCTTACGGTTACAACGGCAGGTATAGGTGCTCAGTCTCTTGCTTTTTCACAGTCTGCTTCAAGAGTAAAACAAGTCATGTTTTTATTTTAGGAAAACCTCTTAAGTCTTCCAGAAGAAATGCCTTGCTGTTTCTGCTCTCCACAGCCCCACAGAGCTCAGCCTGGACAGACACCTTATATGTCAACTTAACACAGTCTCTAAATAATAAAGCATCCTTACACCCGAGCTGTCATTTCAATATGCAGCAGGTAACCTAATGCATATAAATGGTCTCATAGTGCTTTAAATCCTCATTGGAAAATCACTGCTAAACAATTTTGGTTGTCAATCTCATTAAATCTGATTAAAACATTGAAAATAATATAAAAAAGACAGCATTTCTTAAAGCATGTTTCTGTGCATCTAGAGCTCATGCATGTGCTCTGCATGAAGATGCATTTAATGCTCTGCTTTGTAAATAGCAAGGATTCAGTTGTGACCTGTGACATGTGTCATTAAATCTGAGCCACTGAAATCCACAGACAGTGGAACGGACAAAACAAGAACAACCGCTGCCTCTGCTAGAGATGGAGAGTGTGCTGGAAGGAAGAAATTGAAATGCATATTGGCAAGGACGGATACAAGTATGAAGAGAGAAAAAAAGGTGAGGGAAGGTGGAAAGGAGAGGCATGTAAGACAGAAGGGAGTGTGTTCAGAAAGGGGAGTGTGAAAGAGAATGGGGATGACTGAGGAAAAAGGAAGGAATAAATGAAGAGAGCAGAGATAAGGATATACAGAGGGAAATGTGTGGAAATCAAATGAGGGAATAAGTAATAGGGAGGACAGAAATATGTATGGGAACGATGAAGGGGTAAAGGGCAGGAAGGAGCAAGAGAAGTAATAAGAGAGGGGTGGGTGAAAAGGAAGACAGATAAAGTGGAGAGAAAGAGGAGTCACGGGAAAGACGTAAGAATGAAACGAATGCAGGATGAGGTTGAAAAATGGAACAGTGGAATGCAGATGATGAAAAAGTGAAAAGGGAACTTTCACAGCTGTCTAGCAGCTCATTTTCACATTCACAGCAACCTTCTCAGTCACACACGCACAAACACACACTGTCGCTCGCTGGCAAACCAGTCAGTTATGATCTGTGGTCTCGGGCTAAAATCAAGTATAAAATGCTTATTCAGCTCCGGACAGGAAAATGAAACTAAAAGAAGTGAGAAAATATGTTAAAAAAAACATAAAAACAAACAGGTGCTAGAGCTGGAGAGCATGGTCAAATCACACGCACGAACGTACCTATGCACAATTATGAAATTCACACACATACAACATGAAATTCCACTTAGTTTAGCTTTAAATTACATAAAGGTTTTGAGAGATAGGCTTGTACTAAAACACTTTCTTCACAAAATAAGTAAACCAAATGTAAACCACAACAAAACTTAAATAAGTTTTGAATTAGCATAGAAGAGAAATTAAAACCAGCAAGACTCTACAAACAGACTGCAGGCATACTGTGTGCTAATCATGTCTCAATTGCAATTCAGTGAAGCAATAAAGCCTCCCATTGAGATTTCGCCCCAAAATAATGAGGATCCCTTTCTCTCACTCAGGCTGCTTACAAAGTCATCTCTGTGGTGAGTTGCGATACAGAGAGACAGAGATGTAGAGGGAGAGATGACAAAGACACTCACAGCGCATTGGAGGCCTTAAGGTACAGCTCAGCTTGTAACTGGAAACAGATCAGCTTGAATCTCTAGACAGTCTGTTGTTTTTAATTTTGTCACCTCTTTCCTGTTGTTAATGACCTGGTTTGATGCACTTGTTTATCGGGATGCAGTGGTATTTTATTCTCTTTTTAATTAAATTTGTTTTATAAATATTGTTCTAATCATCCACAGATGTAGGCCATAATGATACTTTTTCCTCACTACTAAAGTGTTTTTTCTTTCATATTTTGCTTATCTGGCAAATGCAAAATGGATGGGAATCTCATTTCAGCAATGCCTGTGTTTGGCCACTTTTAACTGACACTGATTAAACATTTCACAAATTATATACCAGATGAACAAAAACACTGAATAACGTCAGAGATAAGCCAATTTTATAGGTTTTATTACATTTATTTTCTATTTCTATTCTTTCTATTCTGTTCTATTCTATTTATTCGCTATCTGTGCTAACTTAAAATAAAATACCCTGCCTAAAGGCTGACCAGTATGTACATCATGCGATCAGAGAATATCACCCAGTTAGGATGCAGCTTGTATAGAAGCACTTGTACCTTGCTTCTCCAGAATGTCTACCTTCCTGGTTAAGTAAAGTTTAACAGACAGGATGGATGGAATGACGCAATGAATAAAGCGATTATATGCATGAGACATGCCTCAGGGAACAAGGAAAAGCAAAGTCACCATCACTGTGTGGTATGGGACTTGTGTCAAATTCTGCTGCTGGGAATACTCAAAACATAGAGTTGGGTGATGACCACTATGACATAATATTGACTTGATGCCAACAAGGCAGGAAGTTGAGTGTTTCTGCTTATAAGCCAATACCATTATTACTTATATTGTACCACAATCCTGTCACCCTTAAAATCTGAAAAAAAAAAAAGATCACAAATCTCTCCCACCATTTGTAGAGGCCTCTTCCGAAGGTCCCTCTCAGTGACCAGTCTCTCCTGGTCGGTGATGTAGAGTCCACGCTGTGCCAGCGCCTGGATCACGGCATCATGGCCCAGCAGAGGCTTGGCGGCGTCCCTCTTCAGGATGAGGCTGCCGGCCCTGCAGTAGAGGTCTGCAGACAGCAGGAGGCTGGTCACGGGAGGCTTCAGGTGCTCCTGCTCATACTGGTCTGTGTAGAAGGGATCCTTCAAGTCTGTTGGGATGCTGTCTGTGTGATGGAGGGGAAAAAGTTGTTGTTTTTGTAAGAGATAGAAAGAACATGCAATGCAACTGTGTTTAATTTTTGGCATATGAATCAGCTGTACTGTAACATCATGGCAACCAAGACCATCACCAGCAACAAATGCAACAAAATACTTGACCCACTGAAAAGAGTAGAAATACGTGATTTAGAAAAAACATGTTGTAGACAGAAGGAACATTTTCAATGCATTTTCTAAAATATGGACAATATAACAACTTTTTCCTATCTTTCCCCCATTTCTCACAAGGAATAGTTTGAATTCTTTAGCAAGACTTTGGAATAAACAAGTGAAAAGTCAGGTAAACTTGAAATGAGTAGCACAGTGTATGTACAGTGCTGGCAGCTTTATTCCAAATCTGCAAAAGTTTGGCTTTATTGAACATTTTCCACTCAGTGCACAGATTCTCTGCCACTACTTTACTTTTGCAGGTCTGCTTCATTTTTCATTGCCATGCTTTGACAATATCTTGACAAGGATATGTGTGAATAGATCTCCGCGTTGCTATAGCAACTGCAGGGGGAGTGGAACCCGATCGATTCATCTACTAGTCTGTATCTCTGCAACTTCCAGCTCCCTGGGAACACCCCTCTCACTGCCTGTCTCATCAAAGACAGAGCCTGTACGTGTGTGTGTGTGTGTGTGTGTGTGTGTGTGTGTGTGTGTGTGTGTGTGTGCGTGCGTGCGTGTACCACCTCAAGCAAGTCCACTGCAGGGGGATAGTCTTCATATAATTCAAAAACACTGCTTTTTTTATCGCCTTTGTCTGGTAGCTTTCTTGTCAGTGTTTGCTGAGCTGGGCAGCATTTTTATAAACCACTGCTTGAAAAGAGAAAGTGAGGCTTTTGTACAGAAAATATCAATTAGAGCCAAGCAAAAGCAAGTCCCCCTCTCTCAACAATAGATTAAACAATGAAACCATATTAAAGTGCTTTCAAATGAGATGCTACTGCAGTGTAAAAAAAAAATTAAATTACATCTGCACACACTCCAGATGCAGAGCCATCACTCTGTCAGAAGCAGGGCAATAGATGCAGATTCTGATACTGCTCTGTGTGTGTGTGCGAGAGAGAGAGTGTGTATGCAGAGAAAAATGTGACATGTGGTGAGCTACACCGACAGCTTTACACTCCCAAAACCCTCTACTCATCTCTCACACACACACACACACACAGAACAGTCAATGAATCACCTGCTTAGGCTGACCGCTATCAACAAGGTCATCTACAGAGGGACTCAGTGTTATTATGGAGCAGAAACGCAGACAGCAGTAGTAGCAGCTACCCAGGTTATATGCTTTTCCTGTAAGTACTATGTTCAGGTTATTGATCCCAACAAATAAATTAATCCTTCTTCTAGCCCTCCCCCTTCATCCTCCACAGGGAGGTCAGACAGGTCAGGCTGAGCTACAGAGAAACACCCCTGGAGCTGGTAGTGTGTCTGCACTTTGCTTAGGTAACAAAGAAACAACACATGACATTTTATTTAATGTTGTGTTTCAACATGCAGGCTTTCCTAAAGCCCAAACTGTGCATTCCACTATTTTCTGGCCCTGGTTCATGTTGTCACTTTATTCATGTTTCATGTCATACATTTCATGTATTTTCTTAATCAAAAAAAATTACAAAGTCAGTAACACTTGTGTGCTGTGGCCCAATGTACCGAGCTTTAAAAAACATTTTATTCTGACATCAAGTAACCGAACAAACTGAAACCTCTGCAAGCAAACACAAAAGCATCAATCCAAATCACTGCAGTCAGCAAACTCAATGTGCAATCACTTGATCAGTTGTATATTGGATCAAATACCATCCAGAAAATCTACTAACTCCAATTTAACATTCAAATATAGGATTACATTTTATATCAATCTTTATTTATGCAGAGGAGTCTGACTTTTGTGGCAACGCTCTGTTTCACATTCACAATATTTTAGTCTTCAATTGCTGACAGAGCAAAACCACTGATGTTTTGAGTTTAATAGCTTTGCTCAAGGGCATCTGTAAAGTATTTGGTAAGAGAATACAGAGAATTACACTGGTTTCCTTTCACCACCTTGGTTTTCCTTTTATTTCTGGTCACAATGACTATTCCCTGAGCTCTGCTTATGAATTAAGAGTTGTGTAGTACATTTAATATTTGTATCAGTACTGTTTGATAGTATTTCGTGGTAGCAGATGATCTGTTGTTTAGCTTGCATCTTGCATGTACTTGACTGTGTATTGATGCACTTCTGCATTGGTGTAATGAAGCAGATGCATGTGAAGTATTCAGAGCAGCGTAGGCAGGGATCTGGAGGCAAGCCCGCTCTCTCTCTTTGCACTCTCCCTCACCCTCTCTCTCTCCCTCTGGAGGGCTGTATTTTTGGAATCAACCCATTTCATTCAGTCCTGATTGAAAATACATAGAGGATGTGCAGGAGATCTCATGTTTGGTGGACTATTACAACATAGTGGCAATGAGTAATGTGCTCTTGTGGCTACAGCAGCAGAATACCATATTGTCAGCTTTGGTAAGACAAGCTGATTGTTGGTTTTAATGCTGATGTGACCAGTGAACAGATAGCACTATAATAACTACAATAATAGGGATTGCAACAAATAAAACTAATGGAAAAGAACAAAGTACCAGAGCCCTGAAGAATCTAATAAACAAACTGTTTATTTCTCTTTGTGCAGCAAAGCAACTCTAATATAAAAGTCATCTGTGTGGCCCATCTAAATAGTTTTTATGCTGAATGTAATGCTGTTTTGCCATCCACCCTCACACGTTACATGTGGGGGCCGACCATCTCAAATATATTCTCAACCTGTGGGAAAGGTTGTTCTGAATGAACTCTGAATTTTTTTCTGATATCAAAAGATGAATGAGGTGTATAATTCTGCCACATTTCCAAAACAATCTGGAATTTAAACTTACTAAAGAATCACTGTTGCAAAGTGACCGCATTACTGTATTTCTGTATTTCTCAGCAACAAACTCCTGAGGTCAGATTTCCGAAACCCAGGTTTGGACCTAAATCATTTTCATTTCAGTGTAACTGGAGCAAGGCCTCATTCATACTGCAGGATGTCTTTAAAGCCCAAACTACTGCACTTTTTCATCTTTCCAAACACTAATCAAGTTGGATATAAGCCAAAATTCTAACACTGTTTCACGTAAATGATGAACATTGAGTTACTGTAATTGCAATGCTGAAATAAGTTCATATACAGCAGTGTGGTTCACGTGGCTCATTATCAGATATGTGATAATCCCATGTGTCACAAGGGAAATAAAAGCAAACTTAGGACACTGTCAGCTGCAGTGTGAACAAAAAAAACTGAGCAAAAGTTTGCATATAGTGACACCAGCCTTGGTGTGACACACAAAGGTATTCTCTCTTAGCTAGTTTAGATGCATTTAGAAGAGTTTGTACATCCTATTTTATAATATGCTCTTAAATATGTAGAAAATTGCAAATTAATTTGAACTAATGGAAGAAGCAGGAATTTCATCAGCGTAGTATCAGAGTATGTTTTAACAAATAACAATTTCCTGTAAATAAGATGAACTGCTAAACTGTTAAAGAGCTGCACGCTTGCTGTAATTTCAAGACGCTCCTAATCTCCACTCAGTGTATAAACATTTCAACTTCTTAAGGTTAAAAAATGATACCATAACCATGTGACAGACATCACAATTTAGCACATTTCCACTCCATGTATCATCATATAACACACCTGATTCTTGGGTGTGTTATATGATGATAAATCATGTCTTCATTAGACACTTATGCTGAAATGTGACTTAAAGGTGTGTCAGTTAGAAGCCACCATAGCTCAAAGGCACAATATGAGGAGGGGTTATTTTAAGGAGAGGAGTTACTGTGCTGAGAGTTGTCACTGTATGACCATGTTGTTGTAAGTCCTGCTGATGGACAACAGAGGGTCATAAAAGTTATACGTTACACCTAAAATGTGCATCCTAAATCCGTTAATGCTGATCTATAAATGTGAAAGGCATCACATATTTACACTTGCAAACAACATATTTGTTAATGTATAAAAGAGCATATCCATCCATCTGAAATCATAGTGGTACAATAAAACACATTATACATGTTTAATACAAAAATACTGCATTAGAATGTGCACTGCAGTTCATTTCATTATTATTTTTACTGTAAATGTTCATAAAAGCATAACTTTTAGCCATTCAGAATGTAACAAAAAATACTTTGAGCATTTTTTACAGCAGCAGATTAAGAAAATGAGTGCTTTGCAGTTCATTCTAACAAAAACAGGTGGTGAAAGGAACAGGAGATCCCATATCAGCTAAGGAGCCACGGTTGGTCCTTTTAAATCTGTTTTGGGTGAGGTGAGTCTCTACTAACCAGATAACAGACTCAATTGCCATTTTGTTTTCACTGCATTGCTGGTGATGTGGGTGGTGATTCATCAGTATGGAACCAAGCTATATCCTTTCATTCCCTGCATTAACATACCTTCACTCTCTAAGATGAATGCATTTTTAATACTTTAAATACTACCTCATGCAGTGGGGTTGTAAACCTGCTTTTATCTACATTTTCATTGCAAAACAGACTTTAACCTTTGATATTATATACTGACAGAATATCTATATATATATATATATATATATATATATAAATATATGTTGATATTTTGATTATGATGCTTACTGACTACACCTTCATAACTTTTTCATTTAACCCACATTAATGTTCAAAAGCACAACCTTTGTGTGCTATATATCCTGCTGACAATGTATAAAAAGGCCCACATGTGATGCATCTGTTTCTAAATTTGACTTGGATGCAGCACCCTGAAGGTGAGATAATTTGGGACACCTTCATACCTCTTTAGTTCCAAACTGAACGGTCCCTTTCCATTAAGTAGAACAACATATTTATTGATCAGGGGGTTCCAGTGGAGCAAACAGTTTAATCTTTCCTACTGGGATAATATTTACTGTCTTTCCAATATGCTATTCATTTAAGATGGTCTGCAATGGGGCAACAGCAACAGAGCACAATAGCGTTCGTGAAACCACTGAGGCTTTACTCTGATGGAAAATCACTGTGGATATCTCTACAGGGAATACTACAACCAGGGGAAATCAATGGTGAGACCTATATAGTCCAAGACGTCTCTACCATACAAGGAAGAGACCGTTTTGAGTTTGTTTTGGTGTCATGGCCTTTTAAAATGTACAGACATATTATCCATTTATTTCATCGGGTTTTGCAGTAATTCATTTAAATTATGACAAAACATGCACTTCAAAAGAAAACAACACATCAAATATGATGCAAATATTCATGCAGCGTGCAACTGTATAACTGTTTCGAGGTACAGTAAAGACACCTACCTGTCCCGTACGCCTTGGCTACCAGCCATGTGAGGCTGCAACAGATTTTGGCTCGGGAGAAGTCATAGTGCTCAAAAGACTTTATTGCTGGAGCAACGAATGTCTTCTGAACATCCCTGACGTCCTGAACTTCACCCATATTTCTCCCTGAATTGTACTGTTAGACCCTAGGAAGCAACACAACGCCAAAGCATCCCACTACTGGAATTTCGCGGAAAACAATAAATTGAACTGTAAATTGAAAAGCTGCAGTGTCTTTCCGCAGATTATTTACAGGTTCTTTCAGTCATGAAATGGTAGGCTGGCTGCGTTTTCGTATTTTTCAGTCTTGTTGACACAATGAATCGCTAGTCTTGGTGTTTTCCATCCATTCTGCTCCCTACCAGTTCAAATGGGCTCCGTCGGACCAAGCTGGAAAGGTTTCCTTGGATTTCAGAGGAAAAACTGCTCTTTGACCGGAATGAAAACAGAGAAATTTCCATTCTTTGGGTTCTTTGGTGGCAGACGGCTTCTGCCTTTCATGTCCATGTATTCTGGTATGGATAACCTACGTGTTTAGCAATCCCTCCTCAATTCAATCTCTTGGTGCCGCGGTGCGGTTTTCCTGCCGCACTGTGGCTCTCCAAGCCCTGCACCTTTGTTGCGCAATGCGCATGCGCGTGGGTTATCTTCAGATACTGTCGGAAATATTACAACTTTTGTTTTAGTTTCTTAGTTTGAACGGTCCAAATGCATATTTTACCGTGGCCGATTGGCCGAAACGGCGTTCACTGGCTAAAATTAACAAGAATGAAGTTGCAATAACAACTGATTAAAAAATGTTTTATAACGATATTCAGCTTTGGAACTGTAATGCATTTTCCTGCTATTTCATTATGGCGATGAATACCAAATATCTGGAACATGACAACAGGCCAAGGGTATCTTGTAACACTACTAAGCAATATATTCATAGGCGTACCACACGACTGCTCTGCAGTATAAACGGAAATGTTAACTTTACGATGAACACATGAATGTAGCATAAAAAGAGGGCAGGGTGCATGCAATTAGCGAGAAAACAAAGCTGAAGGGGTTTTATTAATTACATAAATCTAGACAGTTTTTCAGTTACTGTCTATCGTATTGCCCTTATTCCAGACCAGTTTAATTCCCTTGAATATTCGACAGACTTATAAAGCCCGATTCAATTCCCCAGCCACATCCCACATCCACAATGCACATGACCTCAGTTTGAAGATTTTGAAATATAATAAGCTGACATATTTAATGATTTTTTGGCATATTTCAATACAAAAGGTGTCAACTGTGTCTGTTATAGAAGGCTAATTACCCCTCTGAATCATAGCAGAGAGGTTGTTCTATGAACTACATTTCCCGTCGTGCAAAGTAGTAATGCGTCATCGGTGTGCGTCGGTGATTGTTTTGAACTGTTGGAAGATTTGACGGAAGGAGGTTTGTGTAATGCTCTTAAATGTATATGAAACATTCAGCTAAGATACTTGCTGGAATTTCTGAGTTAGCTGTGGCCGAACCGTGGTCTGAGAGGTGCAATTTAAAAAGTAGCGTTCAGGAGTTGTATTTGTCTTTGTAACCAGCATTTTAGGCGGATTTAACATGAGATGCAAGTCTATATGTTAATCACATTTTAACTTTGTTAGTGAACTAAAATATGTAATTTCCTGACTCTTTGTTAAATATATTGTACAAACCCAGATATAGCAAGTTCCCACCACTTGGAGAACTTGCCTAAATCACTGAAATGACAACTTAATGTTTACATGGGTTTTTTTCTGGTGGCAACAGGTCAATAACTCCCTAAAAATGTTTATGCCAAGAGCCCTGAAAGTGAAGAGACCTGTCCAGGGATCGGGAAAAATTTTGAATAAGAAAAGCAAGATACAACAAGATGAGAGAAAAGATGAAGGTACTTCAGAGACACCTGTTCAGAAGGAGGAACCATATGAAGATACCAAAACACAGGATGAGACAATACACGCAAGTGGAGACTCTGCAGGTTTGACAGAGAGCTCAGTACATGATGATGGACACAGCTCTTCCTCCCATGAAACAGAAGAGGAGGAGGAAGAGAATGAGGAGGAGGAGGAGGAGCCGGTCAAATCATTCAAAAAGAGCCAGAGATGGCCGGAGCCAGGGGAACCTGTCTGTGTGATGTGTGGTCGCTATGGGGAATACATCTGTGACAGCACTGACAATGATGTTTGCAGTCTTGAATGCAAAGCTAACCATTTGGTGCAAATGGGAATGGGGACTGGGGCGGATGTCTTTAACCGTAAGGACACAAATGGAGATGGAAGGACTCCCCAACCTCCACAGTCAGCAGTTGACGGTGGTGGGACGGGTGAATGTGAAGCAGGGTATAACTACAGGGAAGATCCATTCATATCAGGCCTTACAGACGAACAGGTGCAGCGCATTAAACAAGAGCTAGGCATTGAAACCCAGGGGACAGAAGTCAGGAGACCCATCATTGAGTTTGAACACTGTGGGTTCCCTGCCACGCTGAGTGGGAACTTGAAGAAGGCTGGCTATGAGGCGCCCACACCAGTCCAGATGCAGATGGTGCCCGTTGGTCTCAGTGGCAGGGATGTGATTGCCAGCGCTGACACAGGCTCAGGGAAGACTGTGGCCTTCCTGCTGCCAGTGGTTGTGAGAGCACTCCAGGTACAGTGGTGCAGAAGAAACAACAGAATTATTTGGGTTTTTTTTGTAATGTAGTTCACATCATGAAACTGCCTGTTCCTACACAAATGAATTCATATTTTAACCTATAGAAAACTTAATTAACTATACTGATTCTGGATGAAATATAATAGTGGCTGGAATTTATGATTATTTTTTTCATCAAAAAATCCTGGAGATGAGTTTTAACTCTCAGCATTTTGTAGGGTTTTTTTTGTTGCAGGCCACATTTCAGCCCTGGTATTAAGTTCTTCATTTACCAATATTACAAGCAACCTGCAGTAAGGAATGCACAGGTCAGGTCATTTTGTTCTTTAGGACAAAATTAAACGGAATTGCCTGAACATTATTATTATTGTTATGCAGTAAACTGAGCAGACAAAATTTTATTCAGACTACTGTAGCAAGCATCTCCTCTGCTGAGGTATCCTTTAACAAGACACCAGACCTCCACCAGCTGACAGAGGAGCTGTCCCGTATCTGGCCATGACCTGCCTGTACAGAGAATTTTTTTAATAGAATGTAACTATTCACTAAATGTCTCTAGTAGACATGGGAGGAATAACGTTACTGGGTTCATCTCAGGGCTTTTGGGCTTACATTTGTATTCACATGCTGTACGTCTTCTTTTTTTGTTTTTAGAAACCAGCACACACTGTGCACAGCCCCGTTGCTCTGATCCTGACCCCGACCAGGGAGCTGGCCATTCAGATAGAGAGACAGTGCAAGGAACTGGTGAAGTGCCTCCCCAACATGAGAACTGCCCTACTGGTGGGCGGCATGCCGCTTCCCCCACAGCTCCACCGCCTCAAATCCAGCATCAAAGTACAGTGCAGAGTGCATCACTACTTTTACTATTTTTATTTCCTGATTCACTTTATCAAAACATTTGTATATAATGATATAACTGTTCAGCTTTCTTCATGAAGTTCTTCTTTTAATCCTCTTAGATTGTCATAGCCACCCCTGGGCGACTCCTTGAGATCTTGAGGCAGAAAGCAGTGCAGCTGGACAAAGTGAAGGTTGTGGTGGTTGATGAGGTATGACAAACACAGAAGGTCAGCACTTAAAGGGCTTCCAACATAAATTTAGAATTTTGTGCCTTTGAGAACAAAGGGCCTGTAAGGTTAAATGAATGGGTTTCATTTAAGTATAAATGTATCTTTCAAAGTAAAGACAATAATGTTTCCGCTCACTGGGTGCTCTCGGAATCTAACAATCAGTTCTAAACATCCTCCAGAAAACCTTCAGTTGTGGTGATACAGCAGCAGTTTTGAAATTCCAATTCCAAATTTCACTTTGATTAGATTATGATGAGCAAACAATGGCTTTCATTGCTAATTTTGACAAACATCATGTCATGTCCTCAAACATGCTGTAAAACTGAAGATTTTACCAAACAAAATAATAATAGTTGTGCTGAAAAATCCTTGAATTTTCCCACAGTATGCTGTTTAGTGTGTAGAAATCATACAGTTTTGAAAGAGACAAAGTCTATAGGTATTTGTGATGTATCCTGTAGGTGGACACTATGTTGAAAATGGGCTTCCAGCAGCAGGTGCTGGAGGTTCTGGAACAAGTCCCTGTAGAACACCAGACTCTGCTGGCGTCAGCCACCATCCCAACAGGGACAGAGGAGCTCGCTGGTCGGCTGGTCCGTGATCCTGTCCGTATCGCCATCGGAGAGAAGAACCAGCCCTGTGCCAATGTCAGGCAGATCCTGCTATGGGTAGAGGAACCTTCTAAGAAGAAGAAGCTGTTTGAGATTCTCAATGTAGGTTGCAACCTGTTTTGATTTTTAATCATTACTTTGTGAGGTGTGGTTAAAAAAACAGACTGTTTCTCTTTTGTTTTGTTTTTTTTTTGGTCAGCAAATCCAGTTTGCACTAAAAGTCTCAATAGAAAGATTTTGGGTGGAGTATCACTGTAAGCCCAGGGTTTTCAATTCCAAACCAAGCTTTCTTTAACTGGTCAGCTGTTTTCATAGATTTTTTTTTGTAAAGCCAGGACTAAATGTACCAGAAAGTGCTCTGGTAGGGACAAACACAGAAAGTGGGTTATTGTCTCAGCTTTAATTTATTGTGGATTTATCGCTCAGTCTTGACATGCACTGGTACCAGCTTGATATTTTATTAACTGGCTGTTTTAAAGGTGGGAATTCCTAAAGCTCCAAGGACCAGTCTCCCCACTACACCATATTTAGACAGCCATTGCTACAGCCTTGGCCCCCGTCTGGAGGAAATGGGTGGGTCCTGAGCCATGGCCCCACTCCAAGAATCCCAGCAATGGCTTGTACCATTTATACTGGGCAGGACAGGAAAGGTCTGCTTTAGTTAACCCAGTGAAAAAGTGTTGTTAGACCATTGTGAGAGTAAAGGGAGATACTTTTCTGCATAGAGGGATGTTGTGATTGTTGATTTTTTTTTTTTTAATTCATGACTACTGTTATTTAATCCAGCATTGTAACAGTACACTGAAGTGGGTGGGTCCAGCAGGATTCCTGTAGGATCATTGGGCTGTTAGACTGGATTTAGAGGGGACACTCGAAGAAATCCAAAAGTCTGGAGTGGATGGGACTCTGTCACAGTCGCTTTATATGCCACAGCCCTCACAGCATTATATATCATCATTTACTCAACTTAAGTCAGAAAATCATAGCATGTTCTCACAAATCGAAGCCAGATCAGTAGGCTGAGAGCTGAATCAAGTTTAATGCAGGAGCCTCATCATTATCACATTACCTACCCTCCTGCTTTAGGCAGAGACACTTTATTAGTTATCAAGGGAAATAACAAGTTAGATTAGAGCATAAGGGAGAGACATGAAGAGCCCACTTTCATAACATTTATTAAGGGCTGTGTAAAGCCCTTCTGTCACGATCTAAGTAGGAAGGCAATAAATACACTGGGACTGGATAAGTAAGGAAGCAGTTTTCACTCATCTGTTACCTTGCAGTCTGGCTATGCTTAAATTTTGGCTCTGCTACATCCACCAGTCAACTCATTTTAGTTGGAGGAAAACCTGGTATATAGCCAGACAGGTGAATGTGATCATTTTAAAGCCTGTCAGCCAGTCCTGCTCCTTATTTTCCTTGAACATGTGTATCACTGGCTGAAGCTGCTCCACTGCTGGAGGATTCTGACTTTTCAATCTGACCCAAAGTTTCTAAGTTTCTTCTATGTCAGCATCTGGCATTGTAACATACAACTTTTTCATAAACTAAAGTTAAAAACTCAATAGTCATGCATCACGGCTGAATATAGTTTCTGAAATGTCTGTATGTGGAGATGTAAAAATGTTGTAAAATGTTTTTTTTTTTTTTTTTTTTTTTTTTAAATCCCCCCTTTTTTTTTTTTGGGGATTTAAAAATTTTTTAAAATGTTTTTTTTTTTTTTTTTTTTTTTTAAATCCTCCCTTGTTTCTGTCTTTTTCTGCGTGGCTCTGCAGGACAGTAAGCTGTACCACCCTCCAGTGGTGGTCTTTGTAGACTGTAAACTGGGGGCTGATCTGCTGTGTGAGGCGGTCACCAAGGTGACAGGCCTGAATACAGTGGCAATCCACTCTGACAAGAGCCAGCGGGAACGTAACCGCATCCTCAGGGTGAGTCCAATGGCAGCCAGGACATGTACAGTAAAGTGAATAAATAGCAGTGGTCCCATGTTTGGTGTTCATCAGTGTTTGTTCCTGAATTTCTTGTTGCTGGAAGAGCGCAGCCACTCAGAGCTGAGACTTAACAGTGCTGCTTTTATCAGTATATTGAATGCACAAGGATTTTTAACGTTATTATATCAACACTGAAAGAACAAACACAGCGTTTCATTCACTCAGCCTCTTTGTTCTAAAAAAACACATGAAGGCCAGACAAGCTCTTTGTCAAAGCCACAACAGCTATAGAAAAAGCAACTCCTAAAAGACAAGAAAAAAAGCAAAGTGGAGAAGTAAAACATAGGGGTTAACGGCTGTAATTAAGCAGGGCCTAAAATCATCCTGATTTCATTTAGATGCCATTCAACAGCAGATCACCCTTCCTGGTGAAAACAGGAAAAAAATAAAAGGTACTAAGAGTAATTTAACTTTTTAAACTTCCCCCCAAATGTCACTTTTAAGTTTCTATTTAGTAGGAAAAAAGATTAATCAATGCATGGCAGTATTGGTCATTTTATGTTCCGTCTCTGCTAGTTCTTACACATCATTTAAGCTATTTATACTCACACTAAGGAGTGATTCAGGCTGATGTCATATTCACATAGCTGAACCATTACATCAGATGGAAATATACAAGTTATCTTGTGCATTATTCTACACACATTGTGCTGTGATTAAATGTAGTATGTTTGGAAATTTTGGGATCTTCACTGTAATGTAAAATAAATTCTGGGGTTGGCTTGTTTTTAAAGCTGGACCAGCCAGATCATGCAGAGTTTATAGTTAAATTTGAGTTCCGTAGACCCCAGTTGCACATTGGTGAAAATTACTTTATTCACAATGTTCACAGTCCTTGTAGAGTGCTGACCATACTAAACATGTCTGACAGTGTAATATTTACCGTGTTGTGTCTTCAGGGTCTCCTGGATGGAGACTTTGAGGTGGTGATCAGTACAGGAGTGTTGGGCAGAGGACTGGACCTTGTCAACGTCAGATTGGTGGTTAACTTTGACATGTCAAACACAATGGATGAGTATGTCCATCAGGTTAGTAATACCTGATGTGGGAAGGTGGTAATCTTACAGTTTTATTTTGCAAGATTTTTTTCCAGTAACATTATACTGTTTCTTTAATGCACTTGTCTGAGTATTGTATTGTCTAGTTGACACTTCCCATCACAGACAGATTTTTCTGTTCAATATTTTTCATTATTTAAATTTGTTATCATTATATTGAGTCATTTTTAATCTTTATGTAAATATCTGACACCTTGTTGACTGTCATAGCTAAAGTGGGCAATAATTTGCATATAGATAAAAAGCAATATTTGATCATCTGGAATATTGACTTATTTGCAAAACTGAACATTTAATGTCACCAGTAATGCCCTAATATATATCATGGAAGGCAAGCTAAAAGTATTCTATTCATACCTTAATTTCTTCGCATACAGGTGGGCAGAGCCGGGCGGCTGGGACACAGGGGAACAGCCATTACTTTTCTCAACAACAACAACAAGCGACTGTTCCTGGAGGTGGTGAATCGGGTCAAGCCCACAGGGTCCATCCTACCCCCACAGCTCTTAAACTCACCCCACCTCTATGAGCAGCAGAGAAGAGAAAGACAAAAGACCAAGCATGAGGACACACTGGTCACCAAGAACAACCTCATAGACATCATAAGGAAACATGACCGTCGCAAGAAGTAGCAAGTTGTTCCTTTCATTCCTGCAACGGTGCTGTATATTTATTAAAGAAATGCTAAACGTTTATTTTGTATATTGTGTATTGAAAAAAATAAATGTCATTATGTTGTTTTCTGAAAAAAAAGTATTTTGTTATTGATAAGAAAATTTATTTAAATAGAGAAAATATCTTTTCTTCAACCTAGGCCCTCCATTTGAGGGACAGTCTTTCTTGCCACAGCTGTGGTGTACATGTGGTGTCTTTTATTGAAGACCAATCCAGTAAAAAATAATACTGCTTTAAATTTCATGTTTGACAAATTGCCTACAAAAAGATATAAAACTACAAAAAGATGCAAGTAACTACAGAAAGACAAAAAAGGATGACAAAGGGACACAAAATGACCACAGAGAGACAACATGACTAGAGATGCAAAACAACTACAGTGACACAAAACAACTACAGAAGGATGAACAAACAAAACCACTCTTTTAGTCTGGGTGTTTTGTGTCCTATGAAGGTGAGCCTCTCACATGTTTTTGCCCAGGGCCCATTGTCTCGTAACCTGTCCGTATGTAGTTTACCATGATCTTTGAGGACTGTGATCAGTTTTGCCCCTGGAGGCCAAGAGAAAGCACAGCTTTTCTTAATTTTAAAGTTTATGTCACCTACTATACCAGTCCTAAACAAAAAAGTTTCACTGAGTGTATTGACAAAGATTTGGAGTTTATGAAGTTTTTTAAACCATATTTCACAGTATTCCTCAGCAGATGGAGTTTGAGATATTTCAGTTTTTGTTTAAACTATGGAGCTTACGTCACCTTTCTAACGGCAGAGCGTTAATTTTAGAATGGAAAACATGAGTACCACTATTGTTGATTACAGTTAACAGTTTATACCAAGTGTTTTTGGATACACAACGATATAACCTTGATTATGCTGCCACCCAGCGTCAGTCTCGGGTACTCGTATGTCTTAACCATGGGGTGACGTAACACTTTTCCGAGAATTTAGCCAATCAGCTGTCACTGACGCAGTCGATTTGAAATTGAAGCGGGCGAAGGCGGAAGAGGGGATAATTATAAACAACAGTAGCTCTGTTAGCTTGGACACAGCTTATATTTTATTCACATGCATTTATTTTCACCTTTAACTGATATGGGGAGTTTTAGTTGCGTTCGTTTTACACATGTTTCATGTCGTGTAGTGTTGTAGTTGCCTGAGTGGAATTATCGTTTGCGTACTTAGCTAACCCGTAAATTCAACTTAACGTTTTTGTTTTTAGCAGCCGGCAGCTATGTCGTTATTTAGTGTACAAGCGAGGAAACATACTGCTTATTATGACCATCTAATGTCAACGACATCGTCCAAGACACCGGGCAGAGAGCGCCTGGCAGAGCGAAAAGCAACAGACACAACACTCGGAAAAAGTGATATAACATCTGAAGCCTCTGCGTGTGAAGACAACAGGTCATCTGATAAAAGCCGACAGGTTAACAGGACTTATGTCATCTCTGCGCTTTCAAAAAGTGGCAGCGGGCAGCAGACTCCTTACCGTGGCCGACTCACCCTGCAGAGGCGGTCAAGGAGAAAGACCGGGGCTGAAACAGCGGAGAAAACCATAGCTGAAAGCAGCCAGAATACCACACCAGCTCCGGAGAAGAGACTAACCCTGCAGCGCAGGACCAGGACTCCGTCCATGGATAAAAGTGCACAGGGGCAGCGTGGGGTCAGCGGTACTGGCCTGCAGCCAACGCCGAAAGTCCTCAGTGAACCTAATGGTAGAGCTCCTAGTTTATTCAGGTCTATGAGTTTAAGAGAAGCAACCTCTAAGAGCAGAGCCAGAGAAACTGCAGCTCATGTGGAAACCCAGGGGAGGTTAGCGCACAGCAAGACACCTTCCACTTCTTCTTCCTCCACAATTAGGCAATTAGAGGACCAGGCCCATACCTTTAAAACCCCCACCAAAAAGACCCCGTTTGAGAAAATCGCAGCCAAGAGAGACGTGTTCGAGAGGCTGGCAGGGAAAGAAGCCCCTAAACTAGTTGCAGTCAAGTCCGCAAGTCTAGAAAGGCCTAAATCCCGAGTACAGCAAGCTGAAGACAATAAACCTGTCCCAGCTCCTCGAGTCAGCAAGGCGTCAGCAGGTGTGCACAAGCCAAACGCTGCGCAGCAGGTGAGGAAGACATCCACTTCAAGCCAAAAGGGGGATGTGACCCAGCCCAGGACTTGCACTCCTGCTCCAGCACCTACTGAGCAGGCACTGTCTCGTCCCAGTGAGGCTCTGAAGCAGCAGGATTCATTTAAGATGGAAAATAGCGCAGTGACTGTGGCTGTCCGTGTCCGCCCTTTCAATGCCAGGTATGTAATGCAATGCTCGCCTTAACTGATGTGATATCTGTCAGCTGGTTAGGGAGTGGGTCTACAAAAGTTACTGCTGACTCCAATAATTATGAACCAAGGTACAGTTTAATCAGATCTTGTGTGACTAAACTGATTTTCCAGTGTTTCCTTGACATGCAAAGACAGTGAATTTTATTATGTCTCAGAAGTTTTGGTAAAGCTGACAAATGTAACATCATATAGGAATATGAAAATGTATTATTGAGATTTTGCTGCTTTTTATGCCTTATGTGATAGTAAATGTAATGAAATAATTAAAAAAATATATATTCTTTAGGTTTTGGATTTTTGGTTAGAGAAAACAAGCAATCTGTATGGGAATTTTCTGACCTGAAAAATGACCATCAAACCACCAAGCAACAAAAATTTACATTTTTATCTTATGGAAGTGTTCAGATATAAGTTCTTACCTGAGATAATGTGTTTGAATATTTCTGCTCTGGTTTAGGGAGAAGGCAGAGAAGCCATTGCAGGTCATTTTCATGAACGACCAGGAGACTGTTGTCCAACATCCAGAGTCCAAACAGAGCTACTCCTTCATCTATGACTTCTCTTTCTGCTCGGTGAATGAGAGTGACCCCACCTTTGCCAGCCAGCAGACGGTGTATGAGACCCTGGCCAAACCTCTGCTACTGAGGGCCTTTGAAGGATTCAACACCTGTCTGTTTGCTTATGGCCAAACAGGCTCAGGGAAGTCATACACGTAAGTATTTTTGTTTTTAGTTTATTACAGTCATCCTTTCCCATTGAATCAATTTCCTCTCATCTCCTCACATCTTTTGGTCTTAAAAATGCATGATGTTTTTGAAATTAAAATATATCAGCTGCCAATTTGACTTTTTTAAAATTGTTGTTTTGCAGGATGATGGGCTTTGGAGAAGAGGCAGGAGTTATCCCACGTTTCTGCCGTGAACTTTTTTCTAGATTGGCCTCCATGGAAAATAAAGAGGTAAAACGTCACATAGAAGAATTTTATTTTTATTTTTCTAAGGCAGTTTTACTTTGAAAATCTAGAGGTTGTGTATAACACTTATATGACTCATCAAATGACCCATTTGGCTTGTTATATTTCAGGTGAAATGCCATGTAGAGATGAGCTACTTTGAAGTGTACAATGAGAAGATCCATGATCTCCTTGTCACCAGAGATGAGCCTAACCAAAGGAGGATGCCAGTAAGTAGTTTATAGATGACTGAAATACATTTCATAAACCAGTGAAGTAATGGTAATTTTTTACTGTGACACATAACCCATCCTAAATTTAAGATTTTATTGTAAAACTGTTGCTGGGAGTTAGGAAAATTGGCTTATACCTATTCAGATAAATCAGTATGCTGTCCAGCTTAGAATGGAAATACTTTCCTGTCTATCAAGATAGAATGAAACTACTTCTACTTGATAATATGTCTTATTTCTGAGATGCATATGAAGTATAATAACCTATGAATCCATCAAGATAAAACCCAGTTGATTTGTGTTTCCAGCTGAGGGTGAGGGAACATCCAGTCCATGGTCCCTATGTCGCTGAGCTTTCTACGTAAGAAAATCCTTTCTTTCTTTGGCCTCCAATAAAGGCCAAAAGAACATTCTTGAATGATGCGATTTGCAGAATTGCTCACTTTTTTATTTCCTTACAGGAATGTTGTGAGTTCCTACAATGACATTCAGGTAGGTTGAAACTGCAGTCAAGATAGTTTCTTCTTTCAGATCCTTGTCCTTTAGTTAATGCTCTTTTGAACAACTTTGAATGATTGAGCAAGTCAAGACTCAGTGTTGGGTAGATTTAGAGGCCACGATGAAGTACAGACATCCCGTTTGACTGAATCATAATGTCTTGAATGTACAGTGCAGGCACAACATGGTGATAAGTGCTGAGCTTCAAAGATACTGTATATCCAAAGGGTAGCATGGTAAGAAAATAATGCTGCCGATATCACATGAGAGATTCAGTTATGATTCACACTGTTCTGGTTTAGGGATGGCTGGAGCTGGGCAACAAGCAGAGAGCCACAGCAGCTACAGGAATGAACGACAAGAGCTCCAGATCTCACTCTGTCTTCACTCTGGTTATGACCCAGACCAAGGTATGGCCTCTTGACTTAACTGTATCATTAGCAAACACAACAAAATGTTTCCTAGTAAAGTCTGACATATTTTATATAATTACAATGAATTCTTCAGAGATACAGAGACTTCGGCTGTCATGTGTTTTGGTCAAGTTTTACACATCTAGTCATCTAATCATCTGTGTGTGTTGTGCACAGACAGAGTTTGTGGAGGATGAGGAACATGACCACAGTATCACTAGCAGGATCAACCTGGTGGACTTGGCAGGCAGCGAACGCTGTAACTCAGCCCAGACAAGTGGAGACCGATTCAGGGTACATACACATACACACACACACCCTGGTTATTGCTGCTCATACATAGAACTGACTTTTCTGCATTTCATATCCATTGTTAATTGGATATCTGTATTTTTTCCTTTTCTCAGATAGTATATGCAAATACCACAAGCAAATGATATTTGCTTCTAGGTATTTGTCATTATAAAAATTCACTTTGGGCCCTGTTATTCATGAGGGCCAATGTAATTATATTGCAGACTCAAATGAATGTTCTTATAGTAAGTTGAGGTTAAGTCCAGCATTGCTTTTTTGTAACTGTATTTGCATGTACCCTAATTCAAAACAAGGCATTTCCTGTATCATTATAGGAGGGTGCTAGCATCAACAAATCCCTGCTTACCCTTGGAAAGGTCATCTCTGCCCTGTCTGAACAGGCACTGACCAGGAAGAAGGTCTTCATACCATACAGAGAGTCTGTCCTCACATGGTGAGAGTTCAGTATGCTTGTACACATATAGCTGTTGTAGAATACAATGTTTACTTTTTTGTAAGCTCTCTTTATTAGTTTTATTTTTCAAATTAAGAAACATAAAGTTAACAAAGTTTGTCCACAGTTTCACACAGTGTACTAAAGTTGTGTGTGGTATATACACATCGAACACAGATTTCTAGGAATAAGAATACATTAACTGATTAATTAATCAAATTCATCATTAATCAATTCAATTTTAATCAAAACTTTTTCTCTAACCCACAGCCACTGTGCAGATCTCTGACCCAATGAGCATTTCCAACTTAGGAGCATGATCCTCACTTTTTCCCTCCGCAGGCTGTTAAAAGAAAGTCTTGGAGGTAACTCCAAGACGGCTATGATCGCCACACTGAGCCCGGCAGGCAGCAATGTGGAGGAAAGCCTAAGCACTCTGCGCTATGCCCAGCAGGCCCGAACAATCATTAATGTGGCCAAGGTCAATGAGGACACCAGCGCCAAGCTCATCAGAGGTCAGACACTCAAAACATTCACATTCCAAAAGCTCAATTGAACTAACTGCAACAAGCTTCTTAAACCTGTCTATTTATACAGTATTTTAACGTGTCTAAACCTAAATTGTAGTAAAAGTTAATAGTTTCATTATGTTTTATCACTATGTTTGTGAACCCGTTTGTATATGCCTGACCCCCTTAATGTGAGTTTGAGATTTAAAAAAAGATGGATGTGACCTCTGTGACTACAACAGAAGGGAACGTGGAGCAAGACTAACACCTTTCTCCATTGAGAAAACAATTTTGATGTCAAAAAAAGTTCTTTCACCTGTGCACATTCATGGACAGTAGGACATCTTTCTTCTTTTTTGAACCTGAACATCTGCCATTCCACACAAACAGCAAACACCTGCATGTCCTTATTCACAAGGAAAACCAAAGATGACTTTTCTGTGCCCAGACTCCTGTTATCACAGGTGTGAACAGTATTTGTGCACTGGAAGACCCTCACAGCACAAAGTCAAGTTTTAAAACCACGGAGGGTACTTCTTAACAATCCCAGTATCATCAGTAACTTAATCACATGCATATACATAAACTCAATCACACTGTTATCCATTCTCAGTCTTGCTCTCATCTGCTTCTTTGTTTCTGTCTCACTGTCTCTGTCTGTATATCTTTCTCTTTCTTTTACATGTGCATGTCTGTCTTACTACTTGTGTCTTGCTCTTGATCTTCCCTCTCCTTCTCTCCCATATACCGCCCTGTCTGCCCATCTATCCATCACCAACTTATGTACTACCCAGTTCAATTAAGGCTTGGCCCTAACCTTGCCTCCAGGCCATATTTATGCACTGTCAGCTGCACATGGCGGCTAACTGTCATACAAGTATTATTTTTCATGAGATGATTGTGCTGCTGTTTGAGGTTTTTAGCACTAAGGGGAGCTCTTGCTGTGGATTTCTCTCACGTCGCCTGTCTGTGGGAGACGCTCAAAGTGAATATGACTTTAACATTACAAATCAGGTCAATGCTGCTCAGTAAATTGTTATCAATAACTGAAAATGTTGGCCAAATCTTTAACAGAGGCCACAGAAATATTCAGATTTTGTGAAAGCCAGACCTTAAAACACATTGTCAGGAATTTTATGTAACTTCCTGCAATTTTATATTGACTGGTATTCATCTAATTTTATATCTGTTCAAAACTGCTACACAAAATTTAGCTACATGAAGTATTTGGACAATATGCCAAAACAATCATCTGCGATTATTTTGACAGATATTATGATTGCGATATGAGTCTTAATTTTATTGGGATTTTTTTTATTTCATTTTTACTGGAAAAAATAAAAAATATACATGATAATGTGATTTTTGCTGGGTTCTGTCCTAAACAGGCATGTTCCCTTACGTCTGCAGAGCACGATTTGTAGGCTGGGGCATCTCTGTAACACCTCAATGTATGTTGTGACACATTTTACCTTAATCAAAAGATTGCAGCTCATGCAATTTGGATATTTCCTTATGCCATTTTGCGATTTTGATGATATTTCAATTAATTGATCAGCCTTATTTTAAACAAACTTTGTGTGTGTTTCAGAGCTGAAGGCGGAGGTGGAAAAGCTGCGAGCAGCCCAGACGAGCTCCCAGGGAATTGAACCAGAGAGGGTCAGGCTGTTCCAGCAGGAGATTGTTGCCCTGAGAAACAAACTCTGTCAGCAAGAGAGAGAAATGGTCGAGGCCAACCGGTCAGCATCACTGCAATCATAATAAATTTATTAATTTTATTCATTTGACGCACCACACCCGGTGATTATCATTCTCATTTTTTAGGGGATCATAGTGAAAGCTGTAGTGGATTTTCCACGCTTTAGAAAAACCTATTAGCAAGTAGTTCTTCATATTCCTTGTTATATCATGAATGTGCTGATATTATTTTACATTCTATTTCTATTTCTGCTTGTGTCACATTAGTAATATTTTAGCATCAATGTACATATGTTTACATATGTATCTTTGCATATATACAAAGACTAAATTCAGATTTGTTTTTTCTGTACAGGGGATTTGTTTTGCTTTACCGTTTTCTTTTTATATTTTCTGACAGGGCATGGAGAGAGAAACTGGAACAAGCTGAAATACGCAAACGTGAGGAGACCAAAGAGTTGCAGGTAATTTGTTCTGAACAGAACATTTATGTCTTATTTATTGTTTAACTTCTTGTATATAGTAAATTTACCTTAATTTAAGTGCCATGGCTCTCATCCACACTTTGCAACAGTACAATAATTGTCAAAGTAATAAGCTGAAGAAATGTTCTTGCTCTTGTGTGGTCTCAGAAAGCAGGTGTGACGTTCAAAGTGGACAATCGCCTTCCCAACCTGGTGAACCTGAACGAGGATCCTCAGCTGTCTGAGATGCTTCTCTACATGATAAAAGAGGGTAAAACCACAGTTGGCAAGCTCAAGTCTGGTTCCAGCCATGACATTCAGCTGACTGGAGCCCTCATTGCGGACCAACACTGGTGAGAAAGTATTGCTGATGTGAAAACAGTGGTGTTTTGATGAGTTGAATAAATAGTGTGTTTAGAGTCTTTACAGTTGTACACGTGAGAAGTGTACCTATGCAGTAAGGAAAAGAATCACTGTGTCTATGTAAAAGTTAAATAAGCCACTACTCATAAAAAAGATCTTAAAATTAGCTTTACATAAATAGTTTTTATTAATGTAACAGAAATTATGAATTCTTTCAAAATGTTTGGCCATTATGGTTAATAACCTATGTTCATTTTCAATTTAAATGATGTGCTTTTTTTTTATTTCTTTATTTTCATAGTGTCATAACCAGCATCCATGGTACTATCAGCGTCACTCCCATGGAAAGTGCCAAGACCTTTGTAAATGGGAACCTCATCTCAGATTCCACTGTCCTACATCATGTAAGTAGATCAGAAAGATCTTCTACCTTTTCTAAAAGTTAAGCTTTGCCTTATACTATGAGGTTACTCAAATTTGGGCAATAACTTTCTTTTTACATGTTTTAAGTCAAACATATAATCAGCTGGTTTCACCAAAGCGTTTCACAAATGTATTTCACTCTCCCCATCTATGTTTGTGTATCTGGCTTCCAGGGTGACAGAGTGATTCTGGGTGGAGACCACTACTTCCGCTTCAACCATCCAGCAGAGGTGCAGTCTGGGATGCGGGTATCTTGTTGGACAGGCGCAGGCGATGGACACAAAGATTTTGAATTTGCCAAAAATGAACTACTTGCGGCTCAAAGAGCTCAGTAAGTTAAAAAAGACCAGATTAAAAAAAACAAAAAAACACAGGGCAACATTTTTATGTGCAGACTAAAAATTAAAGTAAGACTTCCCCTAAAGCCATTTTTGTGTGTCGCAGGCTAGAGGCAGAAATTGAAGAAGCCCATCTGAAGGCGAAAGAGGAGATGATGCAGGGAATCCAGATGGCAAAGGAGGTGGCTCAGAAGGAGTTATATGATCAGAAGGCTCTTTATGAGGACAGGATCCGTGTCCTGGAGAGAGAGCTGGTACATAACACTATAATCACATATTGAAATAAATAAGTATACAATATATTCTTAAACCTTGTGTACTAGATTGCATTATTACAGTGACATCGGATAGTTCTTGTCATGTATAATTTTACGTATATCCTCAAAGCCTCTCAAATTGTGCAACCACTATTGAGTAATGCCAAAATATAATTTCTTTAGACAGAGGAGAATCAGCGGAAACATCAACAGGAGTTAGACCAGCAGAGGGTGGCCACTCAAATGGCAGAGCTGAAGATGGCCAAGCTGGAGCTGGAACAGGAGGTGGACACACACAAGAAACGCCTCCGCCTGCACATGGAGTCCCAGGTCAGGACACAGACCAACGCCTGGGAATGTTAAATTTCCTCTTCACTTGACTTGACTATTTTAAGTTCTTGGAAAGTTGTCCTTGTGCTGGACAGGATTTGTTCCGTTATAAAAAGTTTACTTGCTCCATCCCACTGTCAATGTCCAATGTCCTTTTCAAAATATTTGAATATTGACAATTTTAGAGCTCTCAATTATTGATCTTACACTAGTGAGCTAAACCCCTTTTGAAAGAGACTGTGCCCTACTAGGTACTAACAATTTGGCCTGAAGTCCGAGATCCAAGCTAGTGGGTAGTAGAGCTGCAGTATCTAAGAAAAGAGAAATAACATCTTATTTCAGTTAGCTTTCTGCATTTTTCCCTCTTGATCCTCAGACTTCACTCTACAGGAGATCATCTCCTTCATTTGCTCATTCTCGTGATTTCTGATCATCTAAAACAAGCTTGAGAAGCTCAAGCAAATATGCTGACACCAGGTTTTATGTTTAACTGATGGGCCATTTGGGATGTGTTTTGAGTCGTGGCAGAGCTTGGCTTTAGGCATAATGTTCTGGCCTGCTGGTTTTTAATGTTGTGTACATTACCATGATTCACTCCAGGCGATGGAGGAACACCGTGTGTGTCAAGCAAAGATTGTTGACGCCCTGGAGGCAGAGAAGAGAAAGATCAGCAAAGAGCTGGAGGACATGCAAAAGAAAAGAGCTTTAAGGGAAAACCACACTTCCCGAAATGGTAAGATCTTTCAAGTCTCAACCACATACTGGAATTGGGAACTATAGTGACAATATACACCAATAATAATATTATTATTATTATTATTATTATTATTATTACACCATATAATTGGAGTTCTAAATGAGTGGAATATGTCATTTTAAGCAAGAAACATTAGAATAGAGTGTTGGCAAGTCCAGATATAAATATTTGAAAGAACATCAGTTGAATAGGTGGACGGAGGTAGTGAGGCTATAGAACATAAGTAATTTAGCAGTTTGTAGTGAGGTGGTAAACCGCTTTCATGGTCATTGGTTAATCTACAATAAAACTATACAATGCAAAGTAAGAATTTCAGTCTCACTAAACTGCATTATTATTATTTATTGAATTGACTATAAATACAAATTTCAATAGAAATATCTTCCATGGAAACAGGAAAATGTATCTTTGTAAAAAAAAAATTCCCACTCCTCTACTCTTCTCCGCTGTGTCGACGTGTCCCTACAATACCATATACGTGTCACTCTCTCAGGCCAACGATGAACAATATTGCTGTTGTGTACTCGGGAACCTATATAAGAGTATTTGAACTTTTCTAGTATGGTGAACCCCTTTCATCTAGTACTATCAAATCAGGCTCAGGGCTGTTGGTTGTGGTGTAATTAATGTGTCATTTCTGTATTGCAGTCTCTCCACAGTGGGATGCCATGAAGTTGTCCTTGATGATTGAGGAAGCCAATAAGATTAGTGCTAAACTGAAGAAAAATACAGTCTTCAGCAGGTAATGAAAATGTTGATGTCATTGATTTGTGTCTTATTTTATTGCAAGACTTTCCCTCAATTACAGTATTATTTCAAGCTTGACATTATCAATACAGTCAGATTTTGTATCATCCCTTGACTCTCCTCTGTTGTAGACATGAAAGCCTTGACAATGAGAATATGGAGCAAGGTGATTTGCTACAGGTGCGGGTTCAAAACACAAAGCTGGGGATCTCCACGTTCTGGACCCTGGACAAGTTCCAAAACAACATGGCTGCCATGAGGGAACTCGAACAGGTTCGTCTTAAAACACTTATCCCGTTTTTGATTTTATGATTTTTTTTCATGTCTTAAAAGACATTAAGAACAATCTGACACTTGACTAATTAAAACTGAACTGATATTTTACAAATAGAGTTTTTTTTATGATTTTAAGTTATTATAAATAAGCATGAATTTGGGGCTACAGATTTGCAGTGGTATAATCTCCTCCGTCAGAAGAGCAAAGGCTATGGGAACATGTTTTTTTTTCAGTGGTTTACCAGTTTTCTGCACCTGTCCAAACACATTTAGATCACATGAACTGGAAACTAGGTGTGAGTTGTGAATATCTTGGCCCTGTCCTAGGCTTTTGACTCGTCCAGGGTGTTTCCTAGTCTTTCGGCCAATTTTCGTAGATTAGCTTAAGTAGCCCCTGATCGTTATTAAGAGTAAGTATGGATTAATATGTAATAGACTATTTTTATGGCATTTTATTGGACAGTATTATTGGATCTTGAGTATAGAATCAGAATAATTATAGGTTTAGTAAAATCAGAAACCTATTTACACCCTTAAGGGTCTCATAATGATGCAATGAGTAGACTAATGATGAAGCTGATAAACTATCATCAACTACCAAGGACCAGTGCTCCAATAAGCTGATGGATGATGTCTGTTGAATGAAGCATATTCGGTCAGCCAGCCTATCTCTTCCTCATTCTGCATATTCCATCCAACATCAGCTCAAGTGCAATTGCCAATTTCCCAAGTGTTTGACCTTATTTACAGTGTAGAATGGGCTGTTTTATGCCTGGCAGAGAGATGCTGCATCACTTTGCCGTGCTCTTCTCATTAAGTTGAGTAAATGAGACTGGTCATGTCAGCAATAGTTTACTCTCCGCAGGGGGATTCCACTTCTAAAGATGACGATGTGTTTTATGCCCCCGATGATGAGTGGGAGCAAGATATATCGGCCTCTTCTGCTTCTACCTCCTCCTTCTCGCGCCGAAGGTAATTATCCAGCTCTTCCTCTCTCCTCCTATCTGTCAATACCCCATCCCAGCACCTTACATTTACATTAGATAGAAAATTGTTCAGAAACACCTATAGCATGTTGCTGAGGTACTGTACGTCACCGGACTATCTCTTAGCCCACCTTACTATCTTTCAACGATGCCTAGGGCTTGGATATAAAATGCTTTTGCCTTACAGCCTATGAGTCTTAATTCCACAGCTCTTGTGCTCACCTTTTAATGTGAACAATATGTCAGGCAAATGAATGTGTATGGAAAGTTGAAAGGTATGTGTAAGGAACTCAGAAAATCACTTTTTTTAGACAGTTTGGAAGATTTTGGTTATTTTTACAAAGTCTTCATATTTCCATCAATGTGATTTCCAACCTGTCAACAGAATATTTCCCTCTGTATTCTTTTTCCTCTGTTTATTAATTTAATTTCCACAAAGGCCAGGCCAAGGGGTTTAGAAAGGGAAAGGGCACTAAGTCCTTGTGTTTTTCACTCTTGAACACATAACCCAAACACACAGAGCACCTGTGGTACATGCAGATCCCCAACATTTTCCCCTCACATTGTTGTTATTCTTGTGAAGCATGTTTATGGTGCTTCTGGTGGTGCCTGAACTACCAGAAGACCTAGCCAAATCAAACATGGCACCGGATCTGTGGTGCCTTCTTATTTTTTCTCTCTCTGACTCTGTTAAACTCATGTTTAAGCCTCATGGCCACAGTAATAGCTGTTTATTGACCTTTCCACCTCTAGATTGTTCGTAATAATTTTATTCTCCTGCAGAACTCCATTTAACCCCTTTTACACATGAGTTTAACCTGCATCCTAGCAAAAAAACACTTTCAAAATCAGATTACTTTAATCATGTCCAAAGCCTGTCAAAGATGCCTACATTTAATAAGGGCAAATGCCAGTCAGTGAATGAATTATAGAAATAAGACATACCAAATTTATTCTCAGTATAGCGGAGGACCAAGTCATTGTGAATGAGAGCATCAACATGCATAAAAAGTGTGAGTGTAAATACAAAATCATGGTAAGGTACTCAAAGGGTTTTGAATAAGATTTGTTTGGAATCAGGAGCAGGAGTTTGTTGAAGGGCAGAAGAATCTCAGGGCGTCTATACGAGATCCGGGTACATCCAATTCAGAGCCTCCACAATGGCTCCTCCCAGTCTGCTGGTAAGGAACAGAACAAAATTACTTACTTACTTATTTTTTGCTTTTTGATTGAAATGAACATTCACAGTGACAAAGTGCTGTAAGAATGATATTTAATGAGGCCATCACTGCACACTCTATCTCTTCACTGTGTTTGTCCCAGGCTTGATGGGTGTTGCCAAACCTCCTTCCACCCATTCCAGCAGCACAGACTCTGCCCTGCCCGGCATCTGCAAGGAGCTGATTGGTCAATCAGTGGCCCGTCTGCGTGGTTGTACTGGGACAGAGGAGAGTGTGGCTGACAGGTTGGCCTCTGATCTGAACCTGATGTATGCGGCAGTCCAAACTATATCTGACCTGTATGACAGCATGGATGACAACAGTCAGGAAAACGGTGAGATTTAGCCTAATTTTTGTGTATAACAAGTGAGAAGAGGAGCAAACTGGTGGTACATTGAGTTCAATGGTAGTCGAAGTTAGTAGAGAGTTAACTTAGACAGGCCATGACTAGAAAAATCACATAGCATGTGATTTTTCTATGTAATTGTCTGACGTTGCACAAAGAACATAGATAAAAATTGCTCATGTTTTTGGGGTGACATATCAATTCTTCCAGTCATTCAGGCCAAGGATTATCCTTTTCTTTGTTTTCTGATTTACTGTGTAGGTGTTTTTGAAACAAATTTTTATAAGGGATTTTTCTCCTGCAGTGTTTGTGTGTAACTTGGTGGCTCAGACTCAACTGGTCAAGGCCACCACAGCCATAGAGAGTGCAGTGTTTGTTACCACGCAGTGGTTGGCCAGCGTTAAACCCTCCTCTGGCCTGCCCTACACCATCGCGGAGGAACTCAAGAGCCAAGTCAAGAAGATGGGAGGATTCTTTCAGCTGCTCATTCAGGTAAACACAAAAATCACTACACTGTAATAAAGGCCACACAGTGACATTATATTGTGCTTTTCATGGCACGTACAGGATATAAATGAGTTGAAAAGAGTACAAAATCTGAGCTGAAAAATGATTTTCAATTTAGAGTAGTTTGGGCAGGGGGTAGCTAATCAAAATGCAGAGCATTGATTGACGGGTCTTAGCTCTGAGCTGTTTGAGCTCTGTCTATGGAAATGGCCAAGCGGAGGGAATTCTCATCCTTGAGCCCCAAACAGAACATGAATATATGAAACGTAAATCTAAATTCCTTACCAGCCTCCGCACCTAAACACACAATTTTCCCCTCTCACTTCTGATTTTCCACATTCTCTAGTATTTTAATTTATTTACCGACCCCTCAGACTATGTGGACCACTTTGTTGGCTTGCTTACATTGATTCACTATTAAATCAATTTTAATTCAAGCTGTTAGTTTGTGCTGACTTGATGTTTACTGAAATGATAATTTTACCCCATCCAGGGTTGTGAATCTGAGATCACATCAATGGTGACGGAGGCACAGAGAAAGAGCAGTCAGTGCCTGGATGCAGCATTGCTTGCACTTGGCCATCTGGCGGCAGTGACATGCATGCCGCTGAATGCTATGGAGCTGGGTGCCCAGGCCACAGGCAAGGTAACACCACCATTAATACCACAGCAGCTACTATCTCTGGTAAGGCTCTGGGGTCCACTGTAATCAAGCCCCCACTCCACAATACTAGAGAATGGAATATTAGCTATGTGGATCTCAGAGCAAGGAAGATATTAGGAGGTGGGGGATTATATCTACACATATTTGTATATGTTTTTTTTTTTTATTTATTCTTTTTACCCTTTCTAAAAAAGAGTCAAAACAACCACAGGGTATATCATAAGCAGCGACAAACAGCATGACTGAACCAAACAAAGAAAAACTGCCAGAAACTCACCTACAGAAAATCCAATTTAAAAGATTCCCAATGCTGGAGGTGGTTTGTCTGACAGGCGATCTTTGGGAAATGTAGTGTAAAAACACATCAGTGATCAATGAGCACCAAAGATGTGTAGGCTGATATCAGATAATTACAGACATATACAGGGTAGATGCTGATCCATAAAAAAAAGTTTTCAAAGGTCTTTAATTTGTAAAATTTAAGGCCACAAAATTAATAAAATTATGAAATGTCTTGAAAGTCACATTGACCCACTGGATTTTACGTTACATATTTAAATATATTGTCAGTTTTTATTTGGTCAGACTGCCTCATATATTCACAATATTCCCATATTAATGATGCTAAGCTAAAGACAGCCCCAAGGGTTTTCAGGGAGGAAGCCATATCTTTGTATAGCATTGTTCGTGCTGTAGTTCTCATACTCTATCCTAAACCATCAGGGATATCTTGTTTGTTGTGTTTATTGTGTTTTGTAGATTTCGTTGATTGATTAGAGAACTGCTATCAAAAATATAATAGAAATATGATTTATGTTATTATATGATTACGTCTTTTTCAGCCATCAATGGCCATGTGTCTGCTGAAGGGGACCAATAAAGGCGTGCACTCTCTCTTAGAGGAGAGCCTCACCATCACCAGGGAAATGCTAAGAGAGGCACAGCTGGCCTATCCCAGAAATCCAGTAAGAGAAAAAATGCTTTGGCTTTTGTCCACCTCCCTGTTTTATTTGTCAAAGGGAAATGTTACTTTAGTCATCCCATCACACAAAGTTTGTCATGATCAATTTTATAAACAGATTTTTGGTTACTAAGTTCCGTGATTGTGTACATAAGTATTTTTTTTAATAAGTTGCTGTCATTGATAACTGTCCCCTCTGCTTACAGGTCCTGCAGAGCCTAAAATCCAGGACACTTGATTTAGCACGTGCTCTTCAGAGCTACATGTATTGCCAGATTTCGGTGAGTTTCAACAACACAGCCAGCTACAAACTAAGAGCTATGGTAATATTATAAGAAAGCTTCTGCACTCTTGAAGTCTTGAAGGTTTTATTAAATTTTAGAGAAACTACATCTTGATGTTTCTTACTATGTTACTTGGGTATTGATTGTGCTGCCCCCTAGAAATGTCATCAACAACTTCTTAGTGCTTTCCTGCCATACGATGCTTTCTTCATTTTCCTGGTGCTAATACTGCAAAAATCAGAGGGGTTTTTTCTGTATGAATTACAGTGTTGTATTGTGGCATTCCTTTTGAGATGGGACTGACAAGTTTATTATTTTGGTAGTCACCTTTCTGACTTGGAATTATTAACTTGACAAATTCAAAAGGTTTTTAACTAACTAGAACACTATACTACAACAACAGATACATTTTATTGTCAGTCATAGGTTTGTGTGGAGGTGTAATATAAGAACAGCTTATTGGTATAATTATATATTCAAAACCATAACTCGCCTAAATAATTTATCACCCTTTACTGTTCCATGATGAATACTTTAATTTAACAGTAATTTAATACTAGGTGAATTAATTACTAATGGTCAGAATGAAAGAATTTGATTAATGGTATTAGCTATCAGCTATCTGCAGCTTCATTACAAAACCTGCTGCTATTTGTTTGCATAGATCATGGCTGAAAGACAGAATACAAGCCCAGGCAGCAGAGCTTCCCTGGATATGTAAAGGTTAAAAACAATCTTCCATCTTGACACAGGCTTAAAGGTTACAGATTAATACCTACTCCCACCGCAGCCCCGTTAAAGATGCCACTCAGCCTTTTATGGTTCCTATAAAGCTCAATGCTCTGTAGGCTTATCTCGCTGCAGTCGCCCCTTAACGTTAGTTTCAGGTAATGAATGTGTTGAATGAAGTGGCATCAGTCACAGCTAACAGGCTTGTTTGCTGTTATCTTAGTCACACAAACTAGCAGCTTTTTTTTGTTAAAACCAATCACTGACACATATAGGCGCTGGGGCATTTTGCTATCCACTGGATTTGTAGTCAAATAAAGCTGAGTTACAGCTTGAAACAACTACTTTCATGACGTTTTTGAATAAATCATGTGAAACAGGACTACACGTATGCATGATTGTGGCTGTAAATGTATCTAAAGTATCAAGAGGGTGGAGTGGATACTGTAGCAGACATTATCATTCATTCAGCTCTTCAGAAAGGGTTGATTTTCCATTTATATCAAAATTAAAATTTTGGCATAGATGAGGGAAAAAAACAAATTTTCAAGGTATAATTGTTAGAATTGTAATTAGTTATATGAAATTGCTTAGCCTTTTTATTATTATTTTAAGATTAAGTAGTTTAAGAAGTTAAAATGTAGCTTAAAGATTGGACACACTGTGTTGGAGGAAATGGCATGATTCATTAGCATTTTCTTTTGTCAGTAGTGAACTGGGAAAGAGGCCATCAGGTTTATATCATAGGAAAGGATGCCATGGAAGCCCCATTCATTGAGTGACATAATTTGCTACTGTGTGGGTATTGTGTCTTAGCATGTATCTGTATGATCCTTAAGTGGCATTAGGCTATATAAAGAATTGAAGCAAATAACAAAAAGGTCCCTGGTTGAAAGAGGAGTTGGAGAATATTAGGATAAGGCAATTTGATGAGTAACAGTCACTCGGTCACTATTCATGTGCCAAGGATCTCAAGTAAACTGATGCTACCGCAGAGCTACTCAGTGATTGACGGTCTAGTAGGTATATTGTATAAAAGTATATATTCTCCATTGGTATGTTATGTTGTGTATGCATGTGTCTTAGTTATGCAAATGTTGGTTGCATTACATTTGGAGCTGCTTATTTGCTCTATCTATATTATTTTTTGGGGGGTGTTTTTAAACAGGAGGGAGAGTCTAATCCAGAGGAGGTGGAGGAAGGGGCGGAGGAGGTTTCAGCTTCCCATTTGAAGAAACTGAGAACAACAGCGACCAAGTTGTTCCAGCTGAACCAGGCCATCAGACAGCTGCATTCTTCTCTGTCTACCGCACTGCGAGGTGAAGCTTCTGACATATACAGATCCTTGGTGTTTAATTGAGATGTATCCAGAGTGACTTACACTGAAACATTCCAAAATCACAAGCATTAGAAACAGTATGTCTAAGGTCAGAGCTCTTCCAGGCTTTTGCCTTTCACCATTTCAGTTCATTAAGACAATTTTCTAAATGTACATTTACAGTACAATAAAACAGAAAGGCAAAATGCCAAGATGAGTAATACATTGTATTTTTTTAAAGAGCAAGTATGTTGCTGTTTATTTTACAGTATTGTGAACCAAATTATGAAAGCTGTTGCTTGCTTTAAATTCTTTACCAGTTTAAGAACTACTGAATTGCTTCATGCAATATTGCATCAGCATGTATAATGAACTGTTGTGCTCTAACAGGCGTGGGTTTATTGGGTTTTATTAAACCTTTGCCTATGTCTCAGCCAATCGAAGCTTAAACTTGTTTTAATTATTGCCATAATAATATCAGGTTTGTTTTGGATAAATAATGAAGATTTTGTGTATAAGAGTTTTGATGGTTGGTTGGCTGACAAAGTGGCTGACACGATGAAGGAATTTAACATGACCAGCATAAACAAAAGCAGCCTCAGTCAAAATGTACCAGATTATTGTTGCTTTATGTGTCACTTCCCTTGCCTGACTGTCTTTCTCCTTCCAGGAAAAGACAGAGACTTAAGCAGCTGCAGAGAGCTGATCTCTTCGTCTGCCAAGGCTGTCAATGAGCTGCTCAGTGGTCTCTCCAAGGAGGGAGCATTGATGCTGTCCTTACAACTTCCCTGTCTTCAGAGCGTCATGACTGCACGAGACGAGCTCCACTCTGCCCTGCAGTCCCTGTCCTCCCCCTGGAACGAACAAGAGGCAGAAGAGAGCAGAGGCTCTGCCGCTTCAGATAAGAGTATAGAAGATGAAGTCCTGACTAAAGGGAGTGCTACCACTCACACTGCTCTTAAAAATCGAGTTGTGAGTAAGATAGTGTACTCTCTACCTCCAGGTGTGTCCTCCAAAGGCAGCCCGCACTGGGTGTAATTTGTACTTACACTATGTGTTACTCTTTATGATGTGCTCATATCATGTAGGATTTACTGTAAAAAATTAACTGCTGACATGGAGAGACCATTGAATTGAGCTACACTTTGGTAATAACAAGTGGGTACCTTTTTTTTTTTTTTTTTTTATTCCTTGTACACCAGCCTTACATCACAAGCAGCAAACATAGCGCAAGTCAGTTATATTCACACTTTAAATCAATTCTGCTCACTACATGTTGGCATGTGTCACCTCTGATATGATGTAAATGCAGTACTAGTGTTGAGGGACTGGAGGTTTTCTTCTAAGTGTGGTAAGAATTTGCTTCTTTAAAGGTATTTTTGCATGGGGACAAAGACTTCGGTCACCAGAATATGTAGAGTTTAACAGAGTTATTCATGATGGATAAAAACAATAATGATAAGTATTTGTATGTACGGAAAATGTTCACTTGTGCTGGTGGCGGGCCTTCTCTGTTGTACGATATTTTTTCAGAGGCCACTAAATTATTCTATGTTGCATTTTTATTAATTCAAACATGCAAGAGTTCAACATGCAGTTGCTTTCTTAGTGTTTTGTAAACAACTTCCTCTCCATTTTTGTATGAAGACATGTTTTACTCACATTTGCATAAAGCTTTGCTCTTGGATGTTGTACGCATACTGTAACAATTTGCACTTAGTCGAGACTTGTATACTCAGGGTTTCTTCTAAATACATGTACTTTAACAAAGGATTGTTTTACGTCCTATTAGTCTTCTGTAAGACTTGGTAAAAATTTGATATGTCAAAATAATATAGGAACTTGTACTACAGCAATTAATCATGTGGCTTGATTTGACAAGAACCCAATAATTTCATACTGTAGAGCACTGTTCACTAAACCATGGATGCTTGGTAAAGACTACTACTATGACAAGATTTTACTAGTGATTATATGTCAATTCGCACTGCAGTACAGTAAAGTCTGCACAAAGTGTGAGACATGTTAAATGTTTTTATCAAAACATTCATATACACATTCCCTAATTGGTCTACCTTTTTAGAGAACGAAATACTGAAATTTTATCTCAAGGCCACAGAGTTACAAATACTGTACATATTTACTTCTATTATATGTTGTCTTCTGAATTTACACCTGGTAAGATTGTATTTGTCTTTCTTGTAGTAGTAGTAGTTGACAAAGCTGTAAATCCATCTTTTTACAGTCATATCACTGTGTTAATTTAAGGCATGTAAGATTGTGGTGTAATAATTGGCAGGGGACTGCCTGGTGGTCCCTGGACCCTATTTTGGGGAACTACTACATTAGCCTAAAAAGAACTTTTACGTGGTGGACTCCTTGTTGATAGATTTCAGGGTGCAACACCACTCATCACCTTTGATTTTTGGGGATTTTATGTCAAAAGTCGTACACATTTGACTATAATTTTACAGGAAATGTTTCCTTTTTGCAGCTGGTGAGATACAAGCAGAGTGAAACAAAACAATTTTTACCTTACCTCAGAATGACTACCTTAGGGCCCCTGGAAGCCCTATGTAAGTTCTTGGTGGTCCTGGGACCTCATTGAGGTCACCCCACATTCAAATGAAACCATTTAGTGTGTTTCTAAACACACAAAACGTATTTTAGTCTACATATGAATAATACTTGGCTGCACATTAAGTGAAGCAGGAAAGGGTGATTCCACTAAGCTGATTAATGGATTCACATTCATTGGTGTATTACATCATTGTGCAAGCCTCTAGCTTGACTAGACCACTGGAACCCACTCAAAGTCCCCTGGAGGTCCTTGAACCCTACTTTTATTAGCCGTCTGCTCGCTGCAGGTTACACCCACTACTCCGCCCTGCAGCCTCCTCCGCATCCTCCCCTCATGCTCTCTGGAGACGGCTACTACCAGGGCTCTTGTACTGATAGAGCACAGCTGAGAAGAACTACTTCGGTAAACTTTAAATTTACCGGATTAAAAGAAACGCTTTAAGGAGTGGTTGAATGCTGCGTTCACTGACACTACGCAATTGGAATGAGAAGACGCGCAAAAAAGTTTTTAACAAGACGAAAACTTCAGGTAAAGAATCTTTGTTCGTTTTTGCTTCTAATGCTTCTGCAGTGTCACAAAACAGTACGAAGAAATTGTACTATTGTACTATTCCCATCTAATGAGGATGTTTTTTTCAGGATGCACTGGTTATTGTTCCCCAATTTAGGGCTGCTTGTAAGTACACCATCTTTGTATTTATGTTTTCTCTTCGTTAGGATATTACTGACATGTCACCATGTCGACTTTTAACCAGAAGCTTTTCAGAGTTGTGTACAACGCCTGTATCCAAAGTCTTAATTTGTCTGACTCATTTCTCTGTAAAAACAATTAGGCAGCAAATGCAACGATGCTCACCGTTTTTACACGTGTGGAGTGTTTTTTCTTTAAACTGGCCTTACAGGTTAAGAAAAGACATGATTATCTTAAATATTAAGAATTTATATTGTCCATGGCTTGATGTGTCTTCGTTCGTATTATATTTGTATCTGTTTAAATATACCTCGAGATCAATAATTAATCAGTACACCTGTTGTGTATAATACGTTATCATATCAGTAAAGATGCCTTTGTTCTGTCGCTTTAAGAATGAGCTAAATTTATACATTGTATATGTTATCTCGTTTCAGGTGTGTTTTCACAGCTGTATATCAGGTGAGTCACTTTCTCGTGTCACTTTTAAGTTAAACACAATTTTATTTAACCAAAGGTGGTTAGACCAAGTAGCTAACCCAGCTACCTAGCAAGTATCCCTTACTAGAACTCTAACTATTGATAAGCTAAAGGTCTCACTAAGGCTAAGGTGCTTTCAAGTGTTGTCATCCACCTTACACATTTGCTCTAGTGGTATCTAGCTAAACTTTGGTTCATATTTCAAAATAGAAAAGTTAAACTCCAAGAAAAAAGTCAAGAAAATTTATTTTTAGCTTATTAAGAAATGTGTAAGTGTGCAGGCATGCACAGATATACTTGTGTGTATCACTTTTACATGCCTACCTCCAACCCTTACCCTAAACTGAATCTAAACCCAGTTCTAACATGAACCTTCAAATCCATAGTTAGGACTACACAGAATGTCCTCGCTTTCCAAAACTGTTGCACACAGACACACATGGAAATATATAGAGAAACACCCAGGTAGTCAACAACACAAACAAACGAAATGGTATGTTGGGAAGAAAAACAGTTTCAAAATCATGTTTTCACATGATTTTCCATAATTTGAAGTGTGATGCTATTTTTTAATTATGTCATCATCTTGTTTCACCATTCTATGCTACAACTGTTAAATGACACACAACTGTTTATCTTGATGTGCCCAAGTCCTGATATACATATAACAGCAGTGTAAGGAAATCCTCATTAATTTGTATTTTCTTTTGCCGGTGTTTGAAAATTTTAAATGTGCACTGTATTTAGATGTAAACTTGACCTTGAGTGTGTGACAGGTGCTAGTGTTTGATGGCACTGTACTTGCCAGTGATCATCATTTGGCTGGTGGCTGGCTCTAAGTTCTGGTTAGAAACCAGACTTGAGTTTTCTCTCGTTGTCACTAAAATCACTTTCATGGTAAAACATTTTACTTGGGAAGTGTAGCAGTCTGTCTAACCAGCTCTCACAGGTATCCGCAGTGATTTTATTTTAATTTTTAAACAATGGCACTGGTCTAAGACTGGTTTTCATCCAGATGTGAGAGCATTGGTACCATGATGCACCAGATATGATCTGAACAGGATTGAAATGTCTTCGGGATATCAGAATCAAAACAAAACACAGTTGGGCATTTCAGCCTGAATTTTTACCAATGCAGTCTGACAGGGATCTCTCCATTAATTTCTTCTTTTCTCTTTTTTGAACAGCCTTTACAGTGGAAACCAGAACCCTGACATTCGATGACTCCTATTATGAGTATGTGCCTGATCGCCTGCAATGGAGCAGTGCAGGGGAACTATGTAAGCACCGCTCTGGGGCCCTAGCCACAGTCTCCAACCCAGGAGAGAACCAAGACCTAACCAGCTTTTTAAAATCTTTGAACATCTCTCAACCTGTGTGGATTGCCAGGAAAGTCATGACGCATCTGACAAGTAGGTTCAGTGTGCTGTTTGTTTACACTTTGTATTAACATATTAGCACCCTTTCTTTTTGAATAGTAGGCTCATTGTTTTTCTTGTCCAAGATGCTTTTCTGCCTACTCACTAAAAAGGGTAATAGAATGTAAAATGGGACTGACGATGCTGTCATACAAATCTCTTAGCCACAGTGAATAAATGTTTCCCAAGTTTACAGTAGGAATAGGACCGCAAAGTGGAATTTTATGATTAGGTTCCATCTTTTCCGAGAGCTGTGCCAGGATTTTTCCTTTATAGTAATGTCTCTTTCTTCTCTCTGCGTGGGGTGAAACCAAAGGTTCCTCTCAGACCCTGATTCTGGAATTCACCGGGCGCTCAGACAGGAGTCATGCCCGTCTCCTGCACAAGTTCCCCTCCATGGGCTCAGTGACCGTTTGCACCCGTCTCCTCTTCGATCCCAACTGCTTTGGAATTTCCACCATTTTCTCTTATTCCATCCAGTCATATATTAATGAGTTCCAGCTCCGCGCAAACCTGATCCAGGGCAAGCCTGTGCAGCTGGCTCTTATGGTGCATGGCATTCATGGGCTTTACCAAGAAGCATTTGACCATGACGACTTCTGGCACTCTGTGTGCGTTACTTGGAGCCAGAATGGTGGACGCTGGGCACTATATACTGATGGCCTTGGGTTATCTAGGGGTGATGGCCTTAACAGTTCTGACAGCATCGGTCCTGATGGTATTTTCATTATCGGGCAGGAGCAGGACACTTTTGGGGGCTCATTTAAGAAGGACGAGTCATTCTCAGGGAGCATCACAGAGCTGCACATTTGGGATCGGGTACTGAATGGCAGTGAAATCCTCACCATGGAAAAAGAGTGCTCGCCCATTTCCTCTGGGCTGGTGTTCAAGTGGAGTGGACCAGACATGGAAATAGAGTCCTCACTTACGAAGCTGAGGGGAGACAACCCGTGTCAAGGTACATTAGTCAGGATTCTGCATGGGGACGGGAGGAAACTGAAGGGGTACCAGAGTCTGAATCAAAGCAAATCACCAATTCTAAACAAAATACAGGAATACTTAACACTGTTAAAAAAAAAACATAACAGAAGAGACTCTAATCTATCCTGAAGGTACACTGTTATAGTTAAGCATTATTTTCACATGCTGTTTACAGTTGAGCTAGTTTGGCACAAGGGCTGGGTGGGGTTGCTATGCAGAAAAACAATCACATAAGAGACCATTTGAAAGTCATTTTGGACTGTACACGTTTCAGTAACATGCCAAGATCTGGGCTGGCCTGATGTGGTGAAACTCCACCCATCTGGCATCCCCAAGCAGGGTAAAATAAATGCTACACATAAATCACAGACACAAGTAGACCCAAAATCTGCTTTGTTTGTGTCTCATTTTCCTATCCAACACTCCTCTCATCTCTCTTATCAGGCCCATGATGATCATGATGTAATTTACATAGATGCTGACTGTAGCTGAAAGTTTGTCTTAAATACATAGAATAACATGCTTTAACTGCTAGACTTAAATAATGGGAAAGCATCACTGAAGCTGTTGTCAGTAAAATTTACTTAAAGTAAATGAAAATTGTTATATGAAAATACATGTATTATAAGACATGAGACACACAGCGTGTTAACATGACCCCCAGAACATTTTATTGCGAATGACAAGATATGAAGTTTGGCCAAGTGAGATTTTGTCTTTTTGTGATTGATTCCAGATTTTCTTTTCGTCATCTGCTTCAGATTAACGTAAGAAAATGCTCTGATGTATAGCTACAATGTGCCAGTGTTTCAAAAGACGTGCAAACTGCCAGGTTCACTAATTTTATTATATAATGTCATAAATTTGCCAACCTTACCCCCAAATTTATGTTGAACATTCGCTCCAGGATATTAATTCATGTGGCAATGCAAAACTGGCAGCCTTTCAGGTTATTCTGCATTTTCAACTGTATTACCTGCACTGAGTAAAAAAGAACACACTGTGGTGAATTACCTATATTACATAAGTTTATTGTATATGCATGTTTTTACACATTGCTGGAATGAATCAGAAACAGCAGCTGCTACACTAATTCAGTGATAGTGTCAATCTGCGCTACCAAAGTTATTATTATTGGCAGATAATCAGTATTAAATTGGGATCAGAAAAAAAGCTTCATTAGGATATCCCTAATCCTTTCTGAATTTGTGGCATGCCTTGGCAAACTTCATACACATAGGAAACAGACACGCACACTTTTTTCTTTCCAGCATTAGAAGTTTAATGAAACTGAAGAAAAGAGGAAATCTGTCTCTCTTGCTCTCCCTTACTCACCCTTCAGTGAATAGGGGAGATGGTGACCATGTAACTGGCAAATGGTAGGGCTCCTAATGCTTCTTGTAAATGTTTTGTAACTCACGTCACTCTGAATCCCTCCCTTCAAAACAAACTACTCCCGTTCTGACATCATGCTCCCCAGTGAGCAATGAAGCTCCAAAACCCTCACTGCCCCACCTGGAACTGAGTGCAGAGAAAGGATAGTGTATTTGTATTCCTCCAGTGATCATCAGTTATAGTGTAGGAATATATTTGCCGGTCTTTTAAAGATTAACTTACTAACAGAGCCAGTGCAGTAGTTGATGAAGGCCTTGAACCTGATGATCTATTTTAGGACTTCAGCCAACATGGCAGTACCTGCTACCCTGTCAAACTCCTTAATTTTTCCCTTCCTCTTCCTCATCAGAACCTTTCAGACATACACTACATATGCCACACTACTCATGCAACTGAACTTTCGTAGTTTCAGTCCTTGTAACGGCTACACGTCTTGTAATCAGCAGTCATTTCTACCAAAGTGTGTCTGTTTTATGAACAGATATCAGCCTTATGCTTAAATCTACACTGATGTTTTAAACTAAAAATTAAAAGAATTTAAGAAAACAAGAATTTATTAAATAACATGAAGTTTATCAAATATAAACATTTTCTAAGTGGTGCTGTGTAGTTTTAGTTTTATGTTGATGTGACAGCGAATCCTCAGCGTGTTTTGTGACTAAAACTGGATTCTCCTGCCTTGAAGTACATCTTGGTAAACTGAATTATTTTTACTTTATCCACACAACTGTGACTGGACATGTATTCAGTCCCTTTTTGATGTTCAAGAATTTAACATTAAGAATAACCTTGACCATTTTCTTCACCAGGTAACTTCACTGTGTTAGCAAATGTGCTCTTGGATTCCGTTCGGGATGGAAATTCTTTGCAGAATCAAACATTCTCCCTTGAGTTCTTCCACAGCCCTCAGTCTGATGAGGATTGTGACATCTTTGACCCTGTTACTGGGGGCTGGAGCCTAGTCAAGTGTGACTCATTCAGAGGGGCTGTCTGCCAGTTTAAGAAAGGTGACGATAATAGAAAATGTCAGTTAATTTTTAAGCATTTTATTCATGATGTAATGTGATGATTTGGTCTTGCAATCCCTTATCCCTTTTTTAATTGTTGTCAAAACTGAAAAGAATCTTTGGCAAAAGCTGTTGTGAGTTTCCTCGCTGTAATAGATTTCATTATGTTGTGTTATATTTGTCTCTGTCGCTGCAGAGGTGCTGGATGTTTTCAGTTTACCGAAGACACCATTCTTCAGTAGTCTGAGCAAGGACCCTCTGACTAAACGCGTGAGTTGGACAGTCTGGCCGTCTGTAGCACATCATCACTTTAGTGGTACAGTATGATAAAGTAACAAGAATCTTTGTGATATTGCTGCAGAAGCATCTCAAGAACTGAGAGTAACACAGTGCATGCTGATATGGTAAAAATATAAAAGGATTTCGCAGCTTTGCAGCAACACAGAATAATGTTGTCATTATGAAGTGTAGATGAAATGTTGGCTATGGTTAAGGTAGAGTTGAATCCTTTCCTTGTCCCATGTAAATGAAGTTCATAACCTCAACTTTCCTTCTTTTCCTCAGGTGATGGAGGAGCTGAGCATCAACAGTTCCTGGAACAGAGATCTGACCTCACTGCAGCAGCTGTCCCAGGCTGTCCTGCATACTGTGGAGGCTGGTGGCCCAAATGCTCTCACCTCCAGTGATGTCCTCTACCTCTCCCAGATGGTTGAGATGGACCTGACTGCACTGGCTAGTTCTCACTCTGCCAGACATGATGCAGCAGAGGTCATGGTCTCGATTGCGACTAACTATGTGAAGGCCGCAAGTTTGATGCTGGAGCCTCACATGGCTACACAGTGGATGGGCCTGACAGAGGATGGGGTGAGGGGGTGACCTGTGTTTATTTGTCTTTGTTCAAAACATTTCTCTGAGGTTGATAATTGATTTGCAGCATATGTTTAGACAGTTCGACTTTTAATTTATGATGAAGACTTAAGTGTAGTCTGGGAAGTAGTAGGCATTAAATCCCTGTTTAATTACTTAGAAAAATAAACCAATAGTGTTTCTGCGTTGCATGAAAGAGCCCTATTTGTAACGTGGGTTTAACCAAACACTGGCTTTTAGATTAGCAAGATCTCCCCACATATTTATATTGCATTTTTGGTCCTAGTTTAAGGGCTGAGGTATCATCTTTTAATCAGTGTTCTTATCCCTGGAAGGTCATCCTTTCTCCTCCATGAATCCAGTTCTGACTTTTTATTGTTGGGTCTATATTTCTCGTACAGGTCAGCGTGGGACCATTTACCATTGTCAAGAGCATTGACAATCTCACTGAAGCTCTTTCAGACATGTTATCTGCTGAGAGAAGAGGCTTCACTCTTTCTACAAAGAACATAGGTAAATAAAAACATCTCAAACACATTAAAGGAAATATCTCAAGAGGCACAATATCAGTGGAGATCGAAGTTGATTGTGAAATTGGAAAAAAGGTGAAAAATAGGATTTCACAGCAGAACATTTTATTCACGAAACTGTCTGACACATTTCACTTAAAGAAAAAAAAGACCAGCATTCCTCTGATGTGGAAATTGCATCAGTGTATTTTCCCGTATGCCTGTATGTAGGCTGTTAAATTACAGTATATTGACCTGCTTCATCCCCTTGTTTTTGATGGTAGCATTTGGCTGTGTAATGTAGATGAATAATAATAATAAAAAAAAACCTCTTCTTGCATTTCTACTGTTATTGTTGATGTGCCTTTATTGTTGGGGTGTCCTCTGTTTTCTTTGCTGCCAGATGTGTACATGAAATGGCAGAGGCTGTCTGAAGATCTCTGTAGTCAAGTCTTCAAGCCATCTGTGGTCGGCTCTCCCGCCACTGGCAGCAGCGGTCGGGATGAGTTGATAATACCTGACTCTGAACTCCAGAGGATACACACGCTGGGTAGGAAAAAAACACACGAAAATGCACTTGTCATAGAGGTTAACCCAAATGAGAGGGAAAAACAGAAGACACATTACATGTGTGTTACATGACTTGGTCCATAGATGACATGCACATGTGCTTACAAAGCTAGTGGTTATTCTTGGCGTGAATCTGTGTCTGACACTGAAGTGATGCTAAACAAAATATTTTGTATCACTAAAGGATATTCTCCATCTCTTTGTCTAATCAGGATATGAGGAAGTGATGTTTATTCATACCCACTTTAGCCATCTGAGTGAGATTGTGGCTGGAGCGCAGGAACCTCCAGTGAGTCACCAAGAGAAAACTAAAAGGTTGGTTGTAGTTTTTTTGCTGTCTTATCTTGTGTTGTACTTTAAATATTCCTGTCTATTCTGAAAAAGAGTCAACTCATAGAAACTCACAGAACTAACAAATATCATTAGCATATTTTATTCACACCCCAACCTTTCTTGATTTCACTTGATTTTTACTTAAATTAAATTTTTTTATATATTTTATAATTGCTCAGTAGTTCAGGGAATCAGTTTTTGCAAACATCTGATCAGCAGAAATACCACAGTGTTTGATTTGAGGTACAGTTAAAGTAACATCTTCCGTAAAAACGGCCCACAAATGTTCAAATCGAAGTGAAAAAGTGTAAAACTATACTTACATACTCCTCTCCTGTTTCATTTGTTGTATCCAGCAATAATTTTAGACTCGATTTTAGGGTTTCTCACCAAATTGAGCACAGCCACCACAAGCCACCACAGAACATGGAAGCATTTTGTCGAATGTCACATTACTTTCAGCACTTGCCATATTTGAAGTTAGTCAGGAGACTTGTCACTGCCTGAGGCCATTCAGCTATTAAAAAAAAAATTCCCTTCATATTGCACATTATAATTGTAATTCACTTGAATTTGAACAAGAATGAGAGATCACCAAAGCTCTAATCATTTTGAAAGAGTAGGAATCTTATGGACACCAGTGGGCACTTGTAGTTTGGGTTGATGTCTTTTATGTATTTATGACCTTTACGTTTTAAGGCAGTTGTAAATGGTAGTCATTGTTGTTCCCAGAATTCTCCCAGGTCACCTGGCTTCTGCTGTCATATCAGCCACCGTCCGTGATACCTCCAAGGCACAAACCATCCCTGTGGCTGTCCAGTACACTCTTTCTTCATCACATGTGGTAAAGTCCATTGTTCACAGTATGATTATTCTGCCCATGATATCTATTATATATATTTGAAAGGTTGGACTAAATCCATTCTAATCTGGGTCAGCTCCTGTTTACAGTCAAGTGATTAAAATCATACAGTGTGTGAGGTTTAAGGGTACTAATTTGGGCCTGCACCTTTTGAAACTTGTTGAGATGGAACATGTTGTAAAAAGCAACCATTGTGTGGGAATAGCAGTTGAATTATAGTTACGTTGCTGCCCTTTGATAAACTCACCAAACAGAGCATGTCACTACAAAGGAATTTTCATCTCCCAGCTAGAAGGAATGGCTTCTATCCATGTCGCTTTTGGCTGGTTAGAGTCCAGAGTAATATATCAAGAGTGAACTAGAAAGAGAAGAAAAACAAGTGCAAACATATGTTTCTGTTTCTAGGTGGAGTATTCACAACGAGTTTCCCCTATTTGTGCCTTTTGGAATTTCAGCCTGATGTAAGTTTGACCAGCAACACATAAACAAAAAGTCACATAAACAGCCCTGATAAATTAATGTTTTATTACAATAGAGATTTAAGCTGTTGGGTAAATGATGGGAAGGTCATCTTTTACTGTGTACTATTAATTATTAGGATATATTACTACATTTCTCTGCTCTATGAAATAAATGGTTGAGTGTGTGTTTCTGTGTGTCTGTGCCATGTATTGTACTGTTTAGGGATAGTCATACCAATAGCTGGTCCGGTGATGGTTGCAGGGTGACCTTTGCCGGCACTGGTGTCACTTCTTGTCTATGTAACCACACCACCAACTTTGCAGTGCTGATGAACTACCTGGAGTCGAAGGTAACTCATGACGATGCTGTGAATTCTATCATACATACTGACTTAGAGGTTTCATGAGGAGAAATTTGCTTAAAAGTCAAACCTCAAATTTACTGTGGTAAAGGTTATGAAAACGTATTTAATATTGATCATATGTGGTGTTTTTTTCCTTCTTGTGACAAAATGTTTGACAGTCAATTGATTACAACAATTTACATCTAAATCTAAATTTTGCTGATGATAAAATCTAAACCTTTGATATGATTGTGGATATGATTTGCAGTACACTATATTAACCAGCAGGTGTCACTCCCAGTGTGCCTATTCTGTTGAAAAATGCATTGGTAGAACTGTTCTTTATGTTTATCCAAAATACATGAAAGACATTAAATAAACAAAAAGTAAAATGATCAGCCGCACTTTGATCTTTTTAAACTGTACATTTTGGCATTTAGCTGATACACAAATTCATCTATGAAGTAGGAAGTTTTTGTCTTTGAGAGGACATCCTGTGATTTTTCGGTTATGGAATGGCTGCTCATTAACCACCAGGCCACTGACATGGATCTTCTTTCTCTTTTTCTCTCACTCCCTAACACAATGACTGTTCCCTTATATCCCAGTGGAGTCCTGAGGAGCAGCTTATTTTGACCAAACTGACATTCGTCGGCTCTGGCGCGTCTCTGTGTGCACTGGTGGTGACATTGATGCTGTTCACTGTGTTGGAGTGAGTAGCTGCTTTTCCTGTCCTGTCCCACTTACCACGACACAAACAGCTAAATGGTTTCTGTCTGTTTGAGCCACTACACACAACTAAGCCACAGCCCTTTTTTGTGTTTCTTAATACTGCAAGCAACATAAAGGTTATACTGTATATTAACAGTCACTTGTTGTCAAGTGCAATTACTACAATTTAACACATTGGTAGTATTGTCTTGAAAAAACAAACCAAAAAACATATATTGTATAAATGGTAGGTTCACCATAGCAGTGGGTTAAGTGCGTGTGGCTGTACAAAGTTTTGTAAATGTAAAACACTTGAAGCTCATTATGCTCCTTTTCAATGACGCAAAAGCAAAAAAGTACTGTAAATATAATTTATTATTATAAGTTATTTATGTTTCATGTATATATTTTATATATATGTGTGTGTGTGTGTTTATATAAAAAAAATTATTGGAAAGTTAGTTGAATTAAAGTGTATATATAATCGGGTTTTAGGTAATTATTTCTGTGCCAAAAACATGACAATTGTCAGGCATTTGAGAAGTTAAGAATCTTAATTTTGTCTGCGAAAAGAAGCTGTCAAAACCAGTTAAACTTACATTAGTAATAACAACAATGTGGAATCTGATCAACCATCAGAGTCAGTTTGAGGTAAGGGCCAACCCTATTGGCCATGTTTGATTTTCCAAATTGTTTGGCTCTGAGTTAATCTGCCAATCGAATTGCATCAATTAATTTAAAGTCAAAGAAATTGGTTCTTGCTGTCACTCAAGATGTGTATACATTATGTTTGTAGTGAATAAACCACATGTAAAGTTGATAGTATTTTTTAAAATTGCCATGTTAAAATGAGCCATGCACAAAGTCATGTTTTAGAAGGTAAATACATTTGGTAATAAGAAAGTCAACACTCCACCGTCAGATCTCCTCATGCTGTTTGATGTAACATTCTCCCATACACTAAAAAAACCACAAGATAACTTATTGGCGCAGTAGTTGGTTTGCTCTGTTCCTAAGGCTGCTATGAGTATTGACCAGTGCTAATGTAGTAATTACTGTTGTCTACATGTGGGTCCACTCTGAAGGTTTATGGCAGCGTTCAGCAGCTGTTAATTAAGATTAGGGTCACTGAGGGATCACAATCAGCTGGAGAGGAGCTGCCCTGGCGATTTATGACTGTCCTGAAATCAGAGAGCGCAGCCATGCATTTCACACATGCTGGTGTATGATGTACATGCATTTGTGTACTTAAATACACACACAACACATCCACACACACACACACACACACACACACACACACACACACACAAAGCAGAGGCGTACATGTCCCCAGATGCATGCATAATCACACAAGAAATTATGGTGATCACAAGCAGCGATGCAGATATGAAATGAGTCTAAATAGGCTGAACCCATCAGGAGGTAATGGAAGGCTCTTCATTTAATTTACCTCTTTAAAGCAGTTCAAGCCGTCTGTTTCATTTATGTTATTTATGAAATGGAAATATTTTCCAGCATAGTCTTGAATTCTGAATACTTTATATAGAAAAATTAAATCGGTTATCAGCCCAGCAAGAAAATATACTAGAAAACAAACTGAAAGTCAAACAGTAGTTGCATATTGCAAGTTTAAATGTGACATGCTAGAATGAAAAACATAGTCAGATCTGGAACGATGCAGCAGCACAATCAACAGGATGGAAACTTAAGAACAAGTAGAATCCATAACGTGATTCAAAGCGCTCAAAGTTAACCAGATTCAGGTCATTTTGTATCCAAAGATATTACTAATTTCGTGACTCTAGAAATGGAAATATTGATACTAGCTCTGTGGCAGAGTAAAATATCAGCTCAAGGCTTAGCTATGAATAAATACAGCTCAGACAAACTGAGTGAAAAATTTCCACTGGCAGAGAGAGGTTATATTGTCAAGTTATCAAAATGATCTACTATGTGTTAACACTTTTTTAATCAGTGTTTGTAATACTGTTGCTTATATTTAATTTTCAAGGCAAGATCTGTTTGACATTATGCCCCTCTCTTTCCATAGTATCCCCAAATCCGACAGGACGTCCATTCATAAGAACCTTTTCATCGCTCTGATCTGCGCTCAGGTGATTCTGCTTTGCAGCGGCTCAGCCATTCACAACAAGGTACGGGCAGACAACTAAAACATCTGCTTATTTAACAATGAGTAGGATTTCATGTTGCTCTATCCAAAAGGCGGGCTGTGGACAAATGAGAGTGAATGACAGACGTTAAGGCAGAAGTCATTTGCTGATGGTTGACAAATACATGTTGGATTCTGACGAACTTTGCATGAAGAATAAATTGTCAGTTGGAAATGGGAGCAGCTTAACAAAGGATAATAATTTTCCTTAAATACAAGCAAGTATTTTTTTTTAGTAAAAGTTAGAATATTGTTATACTAGAAATTTATGACAGGTTTCACAATAAAACTCAAGTAATTTAAGTCCTGATTTGGAACATTACAATCTTCTCAATACTCATTTCTTCATTATCAATGACATGTACAATACAAGCTTTAGATAGCTGCTCTAGATAATGAAATTTTAAATGGTTGTTAAGATATTTGTCACCTTCCCACACATTTTAATGTTAAGCACTGTAATAGCTGGGTTAATGAGATTTGCATCAATAACTGAGGTTCCTAGGCATTTGATGTGACATAGCTGACCACTACTGTCAAATCCATCAGTCTTAGTGGTCACTCAATTGCTTGTAGTTGGTTTGACCCCTGGTCCTTTGACCCCAGGTCATGTCAGGGTGGACTTTACCCCTGGGGGCAGATGGCCACTTGTTGGAAATTTATCAAATGGTTTCATATGTGTGTGTGTGTGTATATATATATATATATATATATATATATATATATAGGCAGACTGGTAATTTTTTTAGCTCATAACAAGGTTTTTTTTAACACATGGTTTTGGCCAGTCCGGAGCCATTTACAGTTAATTAGTCTAGAGTGCTTCAGTGTTTTGCTGAAGGATAATTCAATAGATGATTGAATAGTATATACTGTTGTTTAATATATTTTGTAGTTGCAGGGAAATAATCTGTGGTTTTTCTGTTTTCTGTTTTTTTTTTTTTTTTTCTGTTCTCTGTTTTTGTTTTTTTATATCAGCTAATGGTAATGTCAGATGAGAATAAGCACAATATATTTTCAACATATTCTTTTATATTATTAATATAAAACTATAGAATTGGTAAAATTGTGAATAGGATTTGGAGATAAAAATTTTGTTAACAGAGTACCTTTCCTAAAAGCATACATCAATGAACACTAATTTGTGAGTTTGGAATTGTAAGTGGTGTAAATGGGGTATTGGTGACCACTGCCACCTCATTCATTCTTCACAATCATGTGCTGCCCTTAAACAATCCATCAGCAACATATAGTTTGACCTCTGACATTTTGTGTTTGTGTGTTTCAGGACAGAAGCCAAACCTACCTTTTGTTGGCTATTGAAAAGTGAAATGCATCTCATTCACTCTGCCATAAATTCTTCTAATTGATTTTTATAATGTCAGACAAGTAATTTGTGAGGTGATTCTTCTATATAGAGCACAAACAACTATTTCTGTAAACCGAAATGTAGTAAAGAGTTTTAATTTCCAAAAATAGTCGTAGACAACGTGCTTGTGTAGATCCTAGATTCATGTTTAACATTTCTATGGAACATACAGTATGTCAGTTAAATGTCCTTTGGATCACTACAACCCTCCTATGTGCGCAAATTTGCATTGGATTTTTGTAGGCAGAGAATTTTCCACACAAAATATAACCTCTGCAAATTGTGTAAATTAATGCAATAAACCAATTGTACCTCAATACATAACCCAACAGGAAACAGGCACACTTTTCTGATTATGCTTATGACTAGTTGCCTGGTATGATTGGAGCACAGGAATTGAAGCTTGTTGCTTATTGTCACTCAGGAATCTCACCTTAAATGTAAAATGTAATGTGCATCCGTCTGCGTTTTGATAGGTGGCGTGTACACTTGTGGCGGCACTGCTTCATCTCTTCTTCATGGCAGCATTTAGCTGGATGCTGGTGGAGGGTCTGCTCCTCTGGAGCAAAGTGGTCGCGGTCAACCTAAGCGAGGATCGACACATGAAATATTACTATCTCATCGGCTGGGGTAAAATGGCTTAACAGAAGCCATATCATTCTTTTCACACTCGTACAGTGAATGTGCAGGATTTTGTTGTGATGGTTTTTGACACATAATGATAAAGGACATGTTAAAATCGTGTATGTAAACTCACAAAGAGTCAGATTACCCAGTTTTTTCTTTTTTATTAAATGTTCTTTTGAATTGACATAACTCTAACTCTAACTGATTATGTAAAATGTATACACCATAGTTGTAGAAGGATTAAATAATACTTCTCTGAAAGTATAATTGATACCTGCTTACGTTTGTGGCCATTTAAATCACAGTGGTCTCTTACTGTAGCCCCTTTTTCCTCTTTTTCTACGTTTTGCTCATATCCCTTCCTCTTCCTGATTATCTTTTCTTGCTGCTTGAATTCCTCTTCTTTATTCTTCTCCTCCACTTTTCCCTCTCTCTCCCTCCCTCCAGGTCTGCCGGTGCTGATAGTCACCATCACACTGGCATCGGCCTCAGGCAAATACTCAGCCGACGGCTACTGTTGGCTCAGTGTCCAGAATGGCGTTATCTGGGGATTTGCTGGGCCCGTCATCTTCATCATCATGGTCAGCAAATTAAATCGTAATCCTCTCATGTAGCCTGAAATAGTTCAAATACTAGGCACATTTAACCATTGTGTACTTGTAATTCTGTCCTGAAGAGCTCCACATTAGACTATAGAAGCTAATGCTACCAATAACGGTATGATGTCTCCCATTAGGGTTACGAAATATTTTTTAAACAGCAGTCATTAAGGACATGGGTCTCTATTTCATTACCCACAGATATATCAACCAATATTCCTCTTTCCCTTCTCTTTTTCTCTCCTGTTTGGATTTGTATTTTCTTAACTCTCATCTTTGTGCAGATTTTCTCTGTTCATCTCTGTCCATTTGTCTTTGCCTGCTCTCATTTCTGTATCCTCCCATTTATTTCCAGGTAAATATCATGATCCTGACTCGGGTGGTGGTCATCACCATATCCACAGCAAAGAGAAGGTCCATCATGCTGGCCATGGGCACCAGTCCTGTGGAACAAGCCTATGAGCAAATCAGGTACTAACCACAAGGAGGTGCCATTTGTCCTCTTTTCTAAGATTATTCACCCAGGCCACAGGCCTTGGAGCAGACAAGCTATAGTCACTGGGCGTCAAATAAAAAGCAGCTGGAAGATTTTATATTGGATTTGTCATTTGAAAACAGCGAGGCACATTTATCTAACAAGATAGGAATACATTTTGAATGGATTGCATTAGTGCTGTACATATAAAAGGCTGCAAGCTTCAACCACTTGTAATGGTTAAAACTCAACACTCAAAGATACTAAAGCACTAAGCTTTAGTATCTTCGAGTGTTGACAAAGAAATTACTCAAATATAGGTTTTCTGATGTGTAAGGCCAGTGTTGGCTTTATTAAATTTAAAAGCTCTCATTGACCTGTCATTTTCATTTAGTTCCAATGTATTGACACTGTATTATTCCTGAAACGTTGCGTAAATATTATAGAATATTCATCAAAAACGTGATTTATCTGACGGTCTTATCCTTACACTTGCTGTAGTGGAATTGCTTGATTTTACTATAATGTTATAGTATTAGAAACGGGCAATATCAGTTGCTGTCATAGTGATGTTATTGGTATATTATAATTATGAATACATTTTAGGGGGTGTTGAAGATGTATAATATCAATGTAAAATACCATCTCTTGGCAGCTGCTGTGTAAAATTCAAATATTAATATTCCAAAATGTGCTCTGAAATATTTGGTTGGGAGAATTTCTTATCCCTTGCAATGATGAGATGCAAGAATATATACATTTTTATTTTTAATTTTATATACATTATTTGATTATCTAATACTTATTGCTACCTATGGGCTAAAAGATAATGAAAATTGACAATACTATAAACCTGCAATATTTTGGGTTTTTGCAGTATACAATGAAATGAAAGGAGAAAAAAAGAGATTGATATATGTAACGTTATACATCCATACAGTACACTTGTTTGCTTGTTCTAATTGTTCTATGACTATTTTTTTGAGTGATTGAGAATGATTGTAACTGGTCATTAGAAGTGCAGTTAAACAACATGTATATTTATCAGCCTAAATAACTGCATGTTTCTTATCAGACGGACTAGATCTTGTGTTAGATTACTCAGGAAATGGTTGACTTCATTTGTTTTAATATAGAGTACCACTGAGTGTGATTTCAATGCAGAAAGAATATCTTGAAAAGCCTTATCACTGCCATTGTCTTGCACTTCCTATTTTTTGGCACTGGTTTTAGTTTATCAGAGTGAAAGTCTGCTGCGTGTGATCCAGTAGATTTCCTACAACAGGCTTGTATATGATCCTATCAGTGAAAATTGTTAAAGTGTATATGTTTTTTCACTACTTCAGCCCACCGGGGCTCACAGTAGGTGCTCTATGAAGGTTTTCAAAGCAGGCCTTGAACCATTTGGCACCCCTGGGTGGCAGCCGTCTTGGAAATTCAAACACATTCCTCCGCTGAATAAACTAGGGCTCGCCGCCCGCCATGTCACACACGCACAAACACACACACAGCTGGTGCGGTTTGGCGGTCACCTGAGCGGGAAGCTAATTCCACTCTAAACAGAATTAAAGCGGATTTAAGGTGGGAAGTTGTCACCCCATGAGCCTTCCCAGCCACACAGTGTTGTATATGGAACAACCAGCCTGCCAAAGCTGCTCAGTTTTGTCCAAAAAGAACTAAAAAGATGAGAAACCCAGAATTGAGCTTAAGACGATCAGGGAGGAAGCAGAATTTTTAGTGAATATTTACTTTCATTTTATCTGGTGCTGTTTAAGTTCATCTCAGTCAGCCAGTTTAGCCTTTATGGTGTAGCTTAAAATTTTATGTGTGTGTTTGTATGTTTGCCCATATGCACATGTATATTCTTACATTTTTGTTCTGTAATTTGTGTGTGTGTGTGTGTGTGGGTGGGTGTGAGCAAAGGGCTGCTGTGAAAGCGGTGTTGGTGTTGCTGCCCATCCTCGGATTGACATGGCTATGTGGCGTCTTGGTGCCTTTCTCCATTGTCATGGCCTATATCTTCATCCTCCTCAACTCCCTACAGGTACACACACACACACACACACACACACACACACACACACACACACACACACACACACACACACACACACAAAAAGCACAGGATTGGAACTTCGCCACTAATTAATTCTAATATAAGGCATAACACTTTGGAAAGTCGACAAACAGGAGTAAACAGGCATATTTTTTTTACAAATGTGCATATACTTATGATTTTATTGTCAAAAATGTTGTCAAAAAACTTTTGAAATTCGTGAATGCAAGCATGCATCACCTTTTCTTAATTGAAGCAGTATTGGTGACAGAAATACACCTTTTGCTTACAAAACATTCTTGAAAACATCCATCCATCTATTGTAATGAAGTAGAAAAATATAAGACTAAAGTATGCACAGCTAAAACTTGTGAGCAACTTTTAAAAAACTTGAACAGTTTATAGAGTTGAACCTGCTTTTTTCTTCAGTGAGAAACAGAAAGGTTTTCTATTATACATTGTAATTCTGCCCTTCTCTGGTTGTGAGGGTACACAGACTGTCAAGGTTTTTATTTGTCAGTGACAAGGCTGAGGCAGAGAGGAGGAAAAGGGCCTCGGTCGAGCTTGTGTTAAGCAGGTACTTCATTTTATCAAGGGAAGTCAATTTTTATTGTTTGTTTGATTATTTTTGCTTTATGTATTCAGAGGTCAGCATTATCGTTGTTGTTTGTGGCTTATCAGTGTTGGTTTTATGCTTTTAGTGCTGAAATTCAGCAGGATTTGCCACAAATTTTGAGAAATTAATACTTTTTATAGGCACTGTAGACAGTATACACTCAAATTCTAACAAATTCTGCCACAACTAGCATACCTGTGGGCATTACAGCTCTGTTTAAAAATGGCCACAACTTGGAGAAATATTGGTTTTCACATGGAAAAAGAGTAATAACTGCGTAGCCTCATTTCCTACTGTACTGCAGTGATGAGGCGGTAGGCAAGGATGAAAATATGTAATTCTCTGTCGGCAGAAGGCAGCCCCCAGTTACCCAGCTTCCCCAGCATGTCCAGATCCACCGTTGCGATTTGTAGTTGTCTTTTAATCAGCTGTATCTTTAATTGAGCTGTATATTTAACGAGAAAATCAATAAAGGTTTTAGCTGCAGTCTGATCATTAACCGAGGGCCCTCTGTTGCCATAAATAGTTTCTGTTTCCCCCTCATATCTAATTATATTTTTTACATTGCAACAGTAATTAATACAGATGTTTTTTCTCTGGGCTCTTATTATATGACTGCACTGTTTCACATGTTATCACATCATATGGATTTCTATTCTATTTCATGCATCTCTTTGTCTGTCTGTTTGCTCAGCTGGACAACTGTCTGTCTGCAGTCTTTCTGTTTGTCTATCTGATTAACTCTCCTGGTCTTTTACCTCTCTGTTCATCTGTTTCTCAGCACAAAACACCAGACCATTGGTTAATTATCTTCTTTTATCCTCTCAGTCCAATCAGTGTTCTTTTTGAAATATGCTGTGCCCGTCACACTGTCAGGTAATGATACAGCCAAATGCTGATGAGGTGCTTCTATAAGATACTGTTCTATTTGTGGAGATGTATAAACCCAGGTAATTTATGTTTGGATATGCAGTTTTATATTCAAACAATTTTAATAAGCACAGTCATTGACTCTGTTGTAGGTCATACGAAAATAGCAAAATTATTAAAAAACAAAATCTTTCTGATGATCTGTATTTTGTTTGATTCGTGTGATACGTAAAGTGGCAGTGATGCCACTGTTGCCAAAATCAACATCCCTATAATTCTGCATAATAATGTGGTTTACATGACTACATAGAGACATATTGTCTCATCTTTGTTAAATGTATTAAAAACTATTTCAGTCACTCTTAATTCTGCAACATGTATCACAAATAATAACGCATTTTATGATAGAAAAAAAAAACATCCATCACATGGATGGTTATGCATGCAACTGTTTCATCCTTGTAAAGGTGGTCCTCAAACATGTATTTTCACCACATTAAAGTACCAGCACTTCCCCTCTGCTACCTCTTTTGCATGCTACTCTCATATTCCATCCTTCAGCCATGCATGCAGCACAGGACAGAAGAAAATGCCATTGATGGGGTTTCTGGGTAGCTCTAGGAGAACTCTGGTAATAACCAGCTGCTCTGGAATAATAGAGCTGCCTAGTGCGTCTTTTTCAAAAGCCTCAACAGTTCAGAGCACAACAGGAACCCTACCAGGCTTCAAGCTGCTCCAATGACACACTCTGTTGACCCCACTGCTCTCTGGTCTGCATGGGGTGTAGTGACACTTAAAGTGGTAATCCTCAAAATGCTGTGTGTTTTGGGAGAATTTTGATATGTCTTGAGATAGTGCTTATTGCTGTTCTGTTTTTCCACTCACTCAGTGGAATAACAGAAACCTCAGGCATTTCTGTAGGTTGCGCCTTTTTCTTTGCCCATTCGGCCATGATTGTGACAGCATGGCCTCTTATTACAACTACACAAGATCTTTTTCCACCTATGCTGAACAAAGTAAAAATGTGAAACACAAATTCAGGATTTTTCCCATGAAGAAATCTAGAAGACATCATGCCAAATAGAAGGAAAATACATAATCAAGATAGATTTGAATACATTTTTTGTTGTTATTTTACACAGAAATTCATGGTCCCCAGAGGATGAAGCTTATTGATTTTGATGATGTGCTTACTTTTCTTTGAGAACCACCATGAGGTTGACATTTGTGGCTCAGAGTGAAATATCAACTACTGACAACTATTTGATGGTTTGCCATAAAATTAGCTACAGATAGTCAATGTCCCTGGAGGATACATTCTAATGACCTGACTTTTCCTCTAGCACCACCAGCAGCAAACTTTTTTATTCAGTGACTTTTGTTATTATCTGACTGCACCACTAGTAAGCTGTTCAGAATCAAATGTCTGGCTGTGAAATTTGGTACATATTCATACACTCC